CAAGATTTTCTGTTTATACATGCAATTCACACTTAATTTTGTCTTCCATAAAGAGAGGTTTGGGAAAAGTAATTTGCAAGTGTAATGAACCTATTACACCTTAACAATAACATTTGTCATCTGCATAAAACTTTAAATTGTACCTTGAAGAAATTTTAAGCAACTAAAACAAGCATCACAAACATTTTGTATATGAACAGTGAATTCCTAGTAAAAGAGAAAACAAAAGACCAGCCAGAGTAATTCAAAATCTTGCCATTTGTATTTTGTCATGATGGCATAGCACCTGAAATACTACTGCTAGCTCTAATTCCAATCCATGCAACAGCACTGTATTAATATGGACCAACTACCATCATAAAATATGGAGCGTTTGAGTTTGCCAAAACAATTAGGTTTAGCACGCTTTCTTGCACAGTCTAGGACAAGAAAAGCAAAAGATAAATTAAAGGGTATTCTTCCTTTTACTTTTTTTTTTTCCAAAATAAACCCTAAAATAACAGGATTTATTTTACCTTTTTTTTTCCTCCAAATAACTTGTGTTCAGCATTTTATTAATGAGTCCAGAATGCTACAGTATCAGAAACTAGCTAAGTTTTCTTTTGCACAGTGCTGTAACCCTACAAATTATCTGGGACCATAACCATGGTGACAGATTAATTCTTACTCACAAATACCCAGAGCAGTATCAGTATGAAACACAGATTCAATGTGGAACTGCTTGCTAGCAGTACTATCAAACAGCTTTTCGCAGCCCACTTGCATTATTTGGGCTATTGTGGGGTACACTTAGGATCTCTTTAATTACTACAGCAACCTGAATGAAAAACAAAGGAAGAAACTGTCTCATTAGCAACATGTCAGTTGAAACTGACTGCCTTGCTAAATACATAGCAGTACCATATTAAATATAGCTACTGTGTGCAGGCAGCTAGCTATCTGGGTGACTGCACATGAATGAAGGCAGGAAATTCCCTCATAAGATCTTACTAAAAAGTACAGATGCAAGTTTCAAAAGATGAAGACAATAAATATAATGCCATTTACAAAGATCACAACACAATGCATGAGTACAGTAAGACCATTTGCAACATTTCTGCTTACAGAGAAACAAAGGTTTGTTAATAAACAGTCAAGAAATAACCAACAGCTTAATAACTGGAAAATGAAGAGAACAAAGAACTACAATTAAAATTAGCAAAGAAGCATTCTCTAAATAAAAGTAAGTTGTGATAATGGCATCGTTCCCATCCCAAACTGGCTGAAACATTCAGCAATGGCAGTTTTGTTCACATCACAGCAAATGCAAAAGTCTTATTTTAGTAACTTGAGTAGCAAGAACCAACATTCAACAGAGCTTTTTCATGCAACTTTACCTTAGATGACTGACGATAAAATGGGTTAGTAGTTTTCTGCCCACAGGGAGCAGAAGCTGAAGAAGGGCTATAAAGAGACTCTGGCTGGGGAACAAGAGTTATGAGACAACTAGTAAATAAACATGCAGCTTACAGAGACTCTACAATGAGGAAGTTTAGTTTCTAGCGATGCAAGCAACTTATATTAAAGCTCAGTAGCTTTTGTCTGCAATGTCCATGCAGCTTAGTGACGGAAAACTTCCGTGTACTTCTAAGTCCTTTCATTAATGTCCAAAGAATTTTTTAACAGGTGCTGTATTTCTGCATGCGCTCCTCAGACATGCTGTCAATCTCTAAGAGCTGGTTTTAGTTAGACTCCTACTCTGCCCCCCAACATATTATCTTTCTTGAGGCTTTTCAAAATAGTTTGAGGACGGCGTGCTGGAGGGTAATTCCAAATCCAAATCGATTTCATTCTAAATGGAAATAATACTTAAATCAAATCTTTGTTCCTAAAATAGCTGAGCTGGAACGTTCAGGATTAAATATCCCATTCCCAAACACCACCACCTTGAACATTTGTTTCATCTATTACTATGTATTACATCTCTCATCTATTACATCATATTCTTTATGCTTACCCTTGGTCTGCTTATAATGCTCTGTACCATAAAGATTACAGGATTGCCTGCCTTCCGTATGGCTTCCACAGCTTGCTCGTGGCTGGCATCTCTGAGGTCAATCCCATCCACCTGTAATTGGAAGGCCTCATCTTAACATTGCAAGAAGCTACAAGAATCATGGGTCAGCTTTGGCTTTTGGTTTTGGAACTCTAACACCTAAGCCCAAACCTCCATTACTGGTAGACAGTTTTCTACTGACTTGGCCTGAGGTACCTCACACAGAGGTTTGAGATTTCCAAGAACACTGAAAGGACATCAAATGTATTTTCTCCATGGTTTTAAAAACATTTTTTTCAACGTTCTCTGTTCAGGCTCCTTACATTTTCCCACAGGCAATGTAATAGAAGAGATAGGATAATAAGAAGAGATAAGATAATCTAAAGAGAGTGCTAGCATTTGCCAAATACTGCTTCTTTTAAAACCTATCTCGGAATAACCTACCTCCCAGGACTTTATGAGATTTACAAACTGAAACTTGTTAGGTGATGAAGGATCTTTAATTATGGGGTATTATGCAAGTATAGTGTACTTTTTGTCTTTTTTTTTTTTTTTTAAAGCAAGGTAAGTCCAATTTTAGCTACTAGACACTTTCCCCGGAAGTTGAAATTTAAGGTCAGAGGTGAAAAGCTTTCTCTCTGCTATAAGAAAGCATTTACAAAGGATGCCTAAGGACAAATTTTTGCCTTGTCTTTTTTCTTCATGCCTTCCTATGTATTGGTGTGTAAAACAGCTTGTCTTGCAATCCAGGTAAGAACCATGTTATGGTGAGGTTAGCATCAGTAAAGCATTCTCACAATGACCATAATAAAACCTACAAGCTAACACAGAAAGGTTATTTGTTAGTGGCAATTCTTGCACACAAAGTTATATAATGCAGGTTACCCTTAACTTTCTAATTGTCTTACTCTATCTTAAACTTAACCATCCAATGTAAATAAAGAGAGAACAAAAACAATCCAAGAGAGATAATTCTAAACCTATGAAGAACTGAACAATAACACTAAGGCTCTCTGACTCCCCATGTCTGAAATACTGTAAGCAGTACAGAGGAAAGCCCAGATAAACCCCAACTTGTGAAACTGAAATAATCCATTGAGGAACAGTCACATTAACACAACTTTAGTTGCTTAGTTTCCCTCCAACTTCTGCAATCATCATTGTCAGTGACAATTGCTGCATTCATAACAATCCAGGTATTCAGATATAATGAATGTTTTTTAACTTTGTGGCCATCACTCAAAATTCCACCTCCCAACTTGTTACACAATGGAAACTCTTTCATCCTGTTGTGGAAAGTGCTACCTATATTGTGGTATTATTTCGAGATCCTTTATATGGATCTTGTAGCAGACAGTGAACTGCAGATTAAGTATCACCATGTAAAGCAAGCCCAGTCTGATCCAAGGGAAGAACCACCATCTCCATCACCCTTCTCATTATATTCTTCCTGATGGGCAGCCAGCTAACAACATTCAGCAGGCTGAAAATGAGTGCAGTTCCTAACGGCCTGACACTGGAGACAGTGTAATGTCTGACTTACTGATAATCATCACAGGAAAGACACATTCTTTTCAGTATGATCATTCTTCAGTATTTTTAAGCAAGAAAGCAGAAGTAGCTGCATAAGCGCAGGATTGGCTAAGCAGGAAAGAAATCTAGATCAATTTCTACCTGCAACACCACTGGCTACCCTAATCCTCAGTCATGGGCACAACGCTCTTAACTTCCTCTGTATCAAGTCCAGCCTTCTTCATGTCAGCAGGTAAAAAAAACGTGCCTCTCAATTCCTGCACAAGATGCACAAGAATGATGTGATCTGATTAAGACATAAGAGGGAAATAAGCTTGGCATTTATTTGCATGATTTTCCATTCACTGGCCACTTCTGTTGCTATCCAGTATGCAAAGGTAAAACCTTTTAGCCTCACCAAACTTAAGCTTTTCCCCACACTTTCGGCTTTAAAACAGGCAGGTAGAACTGCTGGCTTTGTAGACCCCTGCTCACACAGCCAGCCACCGATGCTTTAGGTTGTATATTCAATTTAAAGCTATCTGCACACAAACATCAGCAGATGGTACTACACTCTGCATGGATCAAGTGGTGCCAGCTGGCGCAATTACACAGCTGTCAGCCCAGGACCACACATCCATCTCAGTGGCTCCTGAGATGCTGGGGGTACTGCAAGCAAAAGACACTCGGCTGGTACCTCCACAATCCGATCTCCGGTTTTCAGTGTTCCATTTTTGCCAGCCGGGCTGTCTTCCAGGATGTGCTTGATGAAGATCCCTCTCATCACTTCTCCATTACTCAGGCGGCTCCCCATCCCTCGTCCTCCAACAATGCTGATCCCCAGTGACTTGCTAGGCTCTCTCCAGAGTTCAACCCTGTTGGGACAAAACAAGGACCAAAATAAATGAAAATCTGTTTTGATAATGACAATGCTGCACGCTGAAGACACCTGGATTTGCACAATCATTTAAAAACATTCAGAAATAACTTCCCCTTGGCAAGTTTTGTCTTTCAGTGGGAGTTATCTACCGAATTACTCAGAAAGTCTGTAATTGTGTCTACTGTTGTTCACTTTATTTTGGATTCTAACAAAAACTTTGAATCCTTCTCTTCATGTCTTCTTACTGGCTCCCAGGGAGTGAGCCTATAAAGAAAAATTATTAAAGCAATCAAGAAATTCCTTGACTGCAGGGATTTAGCCCAATGGCAGTAAAAATCAACAGTTAATTACTCCTGCAATGCACAATGTATGTAGAGTGCAGCAGTTCTGTTGTTTTCTTATTCCTCTTAAAATATATTACACGTTTAAAAATTCTTTAATTTCAGATGATATTTTATACTGTGCAACTAGATTGCACTTACTTTCTGGGCTGGTTCCAGTTACTGAAAGCTGCATTCTGAAGTTCACTTTCTTCTCCCTCGCCCTCTTCACGTTCTGGAAGCTCTGGGAGTTCCCTGCTGATGAACAGGAACATGCAATTCATTTTAGAAGTACCCGCATAATCACTAGATTTCACTGCAAAATTTCATACTGGATCACCCTGCCAGCATTAGAATTTGTACACAGGGGTTGTTTAAGGAACTTCTTTTTCAGATGTCTGCTAGAATACATACTGTGTTTGGTCTCTGCATTTAAGTTGCTATCAACTGTCAACTACAGAATACAAGCCCCTGCATTTTAGAACTAGAACCAAATCAAAGCTGAAGGTAATTATTTATTGTTTCCAAAATAAAAGAAATCACAACAGCAGCATTGAAAAACAGTTACTGTTTTTCGAGATTAATGTCATTTTTAATATTTTGGCCTATAACTGTAATGAAGTTTTGAAACTCAAGGAAAAGGACAGCATAATTCATCCTTTCTAGTATATGTTCTGGAAAGACCATCAATGCCAAATTCTCATGTTGGAAGCACTAAGTATTTGTGGCATGACATAAATCAAATTGCATGGTATTTAAGAGAAGTTTAGGATGAAGTAGTATTCAATCTTCTTTTGGGTAATCAAACACCCATAAAACAGCCTTGTAAAAATGTCAGAAAAATTTGTTAGCCAAAGCAAAAATTTATTGTGAACAGCTTTTTATGGTAATGGCTACTGGTCTGAAGAAAATTGTCCATCTTTCAGTTCTCCTAAAATAACTAACTATGCAAAGTGTATGGCAAGTTACACCTGAGAGCCCTATGGGAGAAAACAGTTAAGTCTTTTGACTCACCTCACAGTATGTGAAGGAAAAAGTTCAAGTGGCACAGCTCCCTCTGTCTGTTGTCCCAAACTGGCCCTGTACTCGTCTAAATTTTCTGCTGGCACATACGTAATACTGCAATAAAACGGGACATGATTAAAGTAGAATGAGGACTGCTGGTCCTGCCTTTGGTGGGTGTCAGGAATGGATATGAGGAAACTACTCAAGATTACTTCATATAATCATTGACTTCAAAGCCACAGTGCTGGTATGTTGGGAATAAGGAATTTTACGAATCCTTTGTGGCTTTGCAACAAATATGCATTTATGGTCAAATTAGGTAACTGAACAGCACATCATTTTCTGAGGGCTGGCCACTCTATTTTATGGTGCTTCAACAGTGACAAGTAATAGAGACAATCCAGCTTCAGTCAAAACAGAAATTTCTCGTGCAAAGACAAACACTGAAGGATCTGCGAGGTGTGAAGCACCATTACCATCCTAAACACTGACTGAAAATGCTTCTGGAAGTTGACTTGCAGGAAGTTTTGTACTTTCCTGGATGTTTTGTATCTATTTTAGGTTTCTGTGCTTTTGGTGAAAAATACCGCACAGGTTTGGACATACAAATGTTTTACAGACCACCACCTATGCCACAGGGAGCAAACCCCTCCTCAGCTCCTTCCTCCACCCCTTCATGCACTTCCAACCACCTTGGGACAGTCAGACAGTCATGTGACACTAGCCAAATGACATGCAGACTCCTGAAGCCCTGGTGTAACCTGATGATGTTTGAATGCCAGAAACAGAAATGGCCCAGTAGACTGGGGAGGCAGAAATGAAGAGAAGGAAAAAAGATTAAGGCATGAAGAATTTCTTAAAGAACTTCTCTCTTACAGGCAAAAGGACACCATAATCTAAAAAGGGCTACTTAGATGGCTCTCCTGTAATGATGTTTTGTCTTCTTAAAAACCTTTAGTTGTTCTATAAGCAGCTTAGCTATCAGATCCAAGTTTGCCAAGAAGTAAGGCTGATGGAAAAACAGCACAAAAAAATATGGCTGTCCTCCCATTCATCACATGGTTAAAAGAACTATGAACATACTTCCCCACAGAACAGATTGGGGGGGGGCGGGGAATCTTGACCACTTCACAAGGTCATGTAAGCTGTTGAGGAGAGACTCCTTCAGTATTGAGTCTCTCACTTGAAGCCCTCTCCTGCCTGTCACTCCCTGACTGCCAGCGATTCCCCCTCACTGGTCTTCTGCTGAATACAGCAAGATGGAGAAGGCAGAGCAAATAAACTTTTATGTGACTAATGCTGACTGTCCAAAAGACTGTACCAAAATCATTATAAGGACCATCTTTCTTTGCCTCGACTGTGCCCAATCCTGTTCCCTACCTCCTCTCACAACTACCGTATCTAGAAAAGTGCAGAAGATTGTCATTAAGGAGATGCCTAGGGTGCTGAACAGGAGGAACTCTCCAGTTCTTTTAACAGAAATTTCTAAATCATCCATATTATCACCAACTTTTTCACTTCCTTAAATCTCCCCCCTCTTCTGCTTTGGCCTTTTTTCAAACACACAGGTGTTACATGCTTGACACAGTGTTTTCGTTTTGAAGTGCTGGGGACTTAACATAAACTAGGGAACAAGCACTCAGCAGAAGATCTCTGACTCTTATGTGTCTTTCTTGAGGACATTCCAGTACTGGGAAACGTGCAAGACATGCTCCAGAGAGAAGTAAGAGGAAAAAAGTTTTTGGAAATAATTACTACCACTTCTCAGTCATCTCCAACTCCAAATGCGTTGAACTATAGCAAAGTGCTAGCATTATGGTCTCAAAACTTGCACAGGGCCAATGCTGCTGCAGAAGCATCACTCAGTAAGCCCGTAAGAATACCTTCCCTCTACAAAAACTATGAGATGTAGAACCTGCACTTCAGTGAAAGAAAATGCCTCATTCATGCTGTTACGTTCATCTGTTTCATCCCAATAAAATTCATCAATTTTCACCCTATAAAGATCAGTAGGAAATAATGTATTTTCCCTTGAAAGGCCAGAATTGCAAGCAACATTTCTGCTGGCTAGAAGGCTTGGACAATCTCCTTTATGCTAAACTGCAGCTGGAAACTATTGTTCAAAGTGTGGAAAGGAGAATGGCTGGTGATCAGATCAGGCAGGAAACAGATCTACCCAGATTCAGCCTGGATGTAGACAGTAGAGTGTGATCACTGCTAGTAGGGTGCCCACCATCTTTTAACTCTTGTCCAGTCCATTTGTGCAAGGAGTACATGGCAAACAATTATGCAGCACCCCAAGGTCCAAGGGTAGTAGCTGTCCTTAGTTCACACTTCTGTGCATCATCAGCATCAGAGATCAGCTAAGCAGGGAGGCAAACCATATGCACTCCAACTTCTGTGATACCCTGTGGTTTTTCGTTATAAAAATGAGTAACTGACATTGCGCTGGGACATTCAGAAGATACAGCTCAAAGGATGCTCTCAAACAGCCTTAAATGTTACTTACAAACATCTCCCAAAACTTCTCTTGGGTAGCTAAGCTTCCTTTTCTGTGTACAACACAGGAACTGAGAAGAAAAGAGGTTCACTCCACTGTTTTCAAAAAGGCATCTAAAATTGAGCAACTGAATTACCTAATGGATTTCCACAGATGGAGTCAAATTTAGACAGTATCACTGGGAGCTGTTACATTTGGAAAATTACACTATTTCTAGTCTAGTGCTTAAGTACAGTTCTAATTGCCTAATTTTAAGCACTCAAAGGAACATTCAATATGTATTTAACTGTTCATTCTTATCTACAACTAAACTTCAATAATGCTTCAGCTACTTCATAAATATAAACCAGAACACTTGCATTTTGCATTTTCTTTCAAGCATAGAAAAGAAAACTGAACTACGTGGATCAAATGCATGAAAAGGTATATTCTGTATAGAAGTCCACATTTGTTTCTTGCTCATGATTTCCAAAGTTCAGTTAACCGCAAACATTTCCCTAGCTGCTCTTATTAGCTAAGCTGTATTACTGATGTGATTGTCCTCCCCTCTGTCTCCTTTGAATGTTATTACTGAAATGAAAAGTCACACAAAAAACCTAGCTCTGCTGAGTATTAGAGAAGCCATCTTTGCTAAGTGGTTGTCTGTCCTGCTCCTGCCTTCTGTGACACACAGCAAGGTCAGATTGTACTGAAGACCTTGGATTCCTATCTGCCAAGAATTCTTTCCCTGTTTAGTATTTCATGGGCAGACACTCCACAGTTATCAAACCCACCACTTGTTGGATCGCTACTGTAGCTCCATTCTTGGAGGTCACAGTGAGGTCTGAAGACATCCAGCATCATTCTGAACAGCTCAGATGTTGGGCCCATGATGAGGGGCCCATAACAAGAAGGGTGTTGGGCTCCTCTGGTCAACTCTGTTGACCTTTGTGCTGTACAGTGGAAGAAAAAATCCACCCAGGCACCTGAATGGACTACAAAAGGGACTCGTAATTGCCTTAATACGGTCACAGGGAAGAGAGTAAGAGAAACAAGTGCCAGGAAATAGGGATGAAGACACAGGAAACAGGAAACAAGTAAATGACTGCTCTACTATTGTGTTGCATCTCTTATCAGCAAGAGAAGCTAAAGTTCAACAATTTCAAGGGAAAGTATATGCAGGGTTTAATCATTTCCTCTCTTTCATAGCTGTACAGCTTGAAGGAGAAAGTGTTCTGGTTTTCTTTCGCGATAGCTAAAACCACCCTCCTCCCCCCTAGAGATATGCACTAGCAGTGAAAGCAGTGACAATGGAAACACCAAAGGGTGTGTATATGAAAATACCTTGTGAACACAACACCACATGCAGTACAGAGGAACATTTATCACATGCTTGACTGAACAGCCACACAAAACCTTGAAACACCAAGAAACCAAATAACAAAGTATAGAAAATGCTCAGGACAAATTACTGTCATTAATACTTAAGGTCTAATTTGAACCTTTTTATGCATGAAGGAAGTAAAATATAAGTGCCACAGAAAATATAACACTGAGATTAATCCAGATATCAGTACATTGTACTCATGCCCGTTCTAGCAGTGAATCCTGTACACACACACGCTCTGAGCACATCTGGAGTGGCTGTCATAGATGAAATTTTAAAATATTAGCAACAATTTTTTAGAATACAGGTGTTTTCATTCCAGTCTTAGGAAGTATGCTCCAATCTTCAAGTTTAAAGCCATAGATATACATACATATATATACACACACACTCTCATACCTTTTTTTAAAAAAAACATATATACACAGCCACATGTGCAGCCACATATGCATGCACACACACACACACACACACAGACAGAATATGTACCTATATCTGGATATATCCCTGACATTACTATGGATGTCATAAAAGCATGGAATGATTTTACAGACAAGTTGCAACATACAGCCATAACGAATTTCTGAATTGCCAATACTCACACATAACAGAGGGCCTGATCATCAGCAGGTGCTGGAGAAGATCTAGAATGTGAAGCATACGATGCAGCATCTTTTTACAACGGTGTTAACAAATGTCAATGTCTCATGCTGAATGCGAGAGGCATACTTATGTAGTTACAAAGTGTGAGCTGCTTTTTTTTTCCTCCTTTTCTTTTATTTTCCCATTCCACTTCTATCTACACCTCCCACAGAAAGCATCTGCTGTTTATTATTGTCTGTAGCAACGATTATTAACAAGCATGGAAAATGGAATTGCAATCTATCTTTTATTTCTTGATCAGAAATTCATCCCCACACTTTACGTAGGTGAATTCTGATTCAGCTCTGTAATTATCTGACAGATGTTACAAGCAGCTTCTGCTGAGCACAAAACTCTGACTATTGTTACAGAAATGTAAGACCTCCTGGCAAGGTGGAGTGAGAAGTTAAATAGAATGCTTCCAGTAAGGCCATACATCTGGTTTTCCACACACAAAGAGGAAAAAAAAATTAAATACCTAAGTCTGAAACTCAGATTGCTAGTTCTTGAACTATTTAAAATCACATTTCCTTTAATAAAATAAAACAAAGCCTTTATGTGACAAGTAAGAACAGCTTTGTATTTTCTCAGCAAATAATGTCTGCCACTGAAATACAGCTTTGATATTAAAATACTTCTGCTTAATCACTTTCTGGGAGCACACTGCTATCCAAAAAAAGCTCAGGCTAGATGTTAAAGTGCCAACTTTGCAGCTCTGTATGGACAAAGAGAAATTTTATCAAGATGGCCACACCTGAGTGCTTGTTCACTCATTTCCTAAGGAAAACACCAAAGAGATTCAACTTGCTAATCTGAAATGCTGGCCCTTAAATCACAAATCTTGCATGGTTGTGCAGAACATTAGCTCTAAAATTACACCCATATAGCTATGTATCCCTCTCAGCACAGTGAAGAACTATCATGGGATAATGCTCCACATCTCCAAATTTCTGATTTGGGACATTACCCACATGTTTGTATTATAATATTTTTCAGGGATCCTGTACTGCTCCTGAAAGTACAAATTACAGAAAAGTTTCATTATGCTGCAACAACTTTGTATGAAAAACTATGTAGGCCCAAAAATACTGTCATTATTCTTGCAAGACTTCCTTCAGAAGCTACCAAAGGATGTGGTCTTTCAGTTCTTTCAAGTGCAGAAGCCAGCTTCACTTTAAACCCTTATCATGTCAATGCACCAAAGAACATAAGCATGAAGTGAAAGACAAAAATCTTAAGTAAGAATATGAATAGCAACCGCCCCTCTTCTGTGAGATCTTTCAGAAAGCAGATGCACTTTTCTCTGGAAAATCTGAATATTCACGTCTAAACCAAGATTTTGGTATTTCTGACATATCTGCAAAAGACTAAGACTACAAAATAAAACTTACAGTCACATAGTGTAACATGCAGCAGCTATAAAAGGATAAGCACAAATAATGAACACATCTGTGTTTGATCATGTAACTGGCACCAATAAAAGACTCCTCGAAGAAGAATGGTGCTGTAGCACTTGTATCTAAGCAGATGTACACACACATGCATGCGCACATACCAACTAATTTCAGTCGTGGCATTCAGAATTATAATACAGTTTGAAAGCCTACAATAATAATCAATGTCGCATTTTATCAAGACTGACTCGCTCATATTCATGACAGCATTGACAATAATGTCATTCATTGTATGAGCATATCCCATTATTTAAACTAGCTTGCATTAAATCATAATCCTAAATGCATGAAAGCTATGGGGCAGACAATTAAAACTACCACCCACAGTGAAAATATTCTACCTTCCTGTTCCCAAAATGCCAGGTCTCTTCAAAGCTAGAATACTTCTGGGGAAGAACATAATGCACTGCAGTCCATTTTGAACTGACAGAAACCACTGCAACCATAGTGGGACTGAACTGATCCCTTTCAAGACAACCCTCGTAAATAAGTAGAGGCTTCTATTACCAACAGCTCCGTTAATCCCATTTGCAGATCTGACCCAATTCATGTTACCATGGGTTTGAGAAAAACAGCTACTAGATTTATGGAGCTGTAAACCCAGCATTGGTGTGTCTAGAGCACAAGCTTAGGAACAACTTTATTTCTAGATGGTGCATGTGGACAAAGTTAACTCCACAACCACGACAGCTAGAAAGAATTGTACTTCTAGGCAAAGTTAAAACTGTGTAAATCGAGTGAACCTGAGAAGAAAAAAAATGCTCATCAATCAAGTGGATTTTTCAAAACTTGTATTAATTACTGCAAGTTTAAAGTAGTACTTCCAAGAGCAGGTATTTATGCCCTAGAGCAACAGCTCCTTTGTATGTACTAACAAAAACTTGTGACTTCACAAAATAGACTGTTTCTGCTGTTTGTCACAGATGTACTGAAAATGTTATAAGTATTATTTTTCTGCATTAACATCATGTGTCATACTTTCTGTCTGGCTGTGCAAAAACCAAAATCCATTACGAAGATCTCCATGAAATGAAATTACTTGTGGCCATTGCACCTTTGAGGAACACAAACATCCAGAGAAAATCCTTACTTTCTTTAGAAGAGTCATACTATGAATGCAAAACTCTTGACTATTCCCATTCCTTCAATAAAACCACGCAGCGCAGTAATAATGATGATTACTAATGACAGTAATAACTTTCCTAAGAACATGCAAAGCCCCTCACACAAGTGATTTTATCTTTCAAACCCATGAAGCTGTAATCTGAAGGTGAATTATCGATCTGAAGCTGTACCTTAAAGGTAAATTAACTGTAAAACCAAACAAAATTTTCATTTAGAATATTTGCATAAATAAACAAATGTTGATTACTAGCCTCTTCCTACCACAGTTCATCATCTAGGTTTACCTACTTTATATCTGGTCCAATGAGCGAATGCCTCCTTAGCATAGCTCGGGCTTGTGCATTGGTTAAGTTAGTGGTTGACTCTTCATTAATGGATAGGATGCAGTCCCCCACACCAATCCGTCCATCACGACTTATTGAGCCTCCATGGATGACGCTGCGGACTATCATTCCTGAGCCATCTTTATTGGAACTTACCGTCATCCCTATAGTGAAAAATGCATAAAACAGTTAATAACTTCTTTGATCCCCAGCTCTGAGTGCCAAGAAAAAGAAATGTAACTTGGGGCAGGGTAAGCCAGCCAGCCAACCTGCCAACATCAGCAAGCCTATAAATGTTGCTCTTATTCTCCCTTGCATTTCCTTCTTTCTAACAGGAGACAGCAGTTAAAACCACAATCACAGTATCTCCACTTTGCCTTGTGTCATTTCACATACCAGGCTCAGTATAAACAAATATAAAAAATATAAATATTAAAATCAATATTAAAAAACAGTGGAAAATTTAAGCATAAAATCAACAAAAAAGGTAATGAAATTGCTTCTGAAACAGTCAAATTTACCACTCTTCTGGATGGGTCACTGAGTTTATACACCGAATTTCAGTTTTGTTTATGATGGCTGTCTTTGGAAAGGAGGTGAAATGATTAAACAAGTTAATTAGTTAATTTCCAACAGAAAGTCTGTCTCAGACCCCACTGAGAGAGTGGCTGCCTTCCCGCTCTCCTAGATGGGCCATCACTTAGGCCCAGAAGTGCATCCTGACTTCTGCGACAGCCTGTGCCCTACTGATGGATACTGTCCACTACTTGAGTTGCAGCACTATCCCACCTGTGGCACAGCAGGACACTACTTGCTAATGTTTATACACACCATTTAACTCTACTTTCTTTCCACTAATGGGAGATGAGACAGACACACTCCCCCACTCTCCCAACTGGGAGACCATGGGGACTTACTTGTGGTGCTGGGCTTCACTTGCGTTTGTTAACTGTTCTTACATGCATGAGTTGTCACTGTTATTTTCAGGGTAGTTGGTGCTTATTAAATCAACTGATGACAGTTCCACGAAAGACTGTTCTTCACAAAGGCAATGGAAAGGTAGATGAAGGGCCAGCACCCTGGAAGTCCATCCAGTGGACTTCTCCTATCTTAATGCTGCCAAACTCATTTTTGTTCTTTTTTGTGCACTAGCATGGAAGCTTTCCTTTACTAACAAGATGAAGCCACTGAAGTAAGAGTGCCTTATAGAGGAGTATCTATGGGAGAAAGAGGCAGTGACTACCCCACTATGTGTTCTCCTTGTTTTGCATGTAAATGTAAGACTAGCAAGCACTGGGACTGCAGTTGTGTGGCTGCAAGCCCTTACCTTATTGTCCAGACTGAGTGGAAGGAAGATGATAGCTACACAACGCAAAACCACCAAGGATACTGACTATGAAAAAATTCTAAATGTTTATACATACACATGGCTACAGAAGACAGAGACTGAACACTTTAGTCTGTGACCTCAGACCTTGTGAGACAGACTGACTGAACAGAGTTTAGAAGGCAGCTCTAAGCCCCAGGCTAACCAGACTCAGCCAACCATACAAACATCTGCCTATGTATCTGTCTCAGGGAAAAAAAATAAAATCCTGTAACCATTTAAAGAACAACACTAATCTGGATAGTCATATTTTTAAGACTCCTTCCAGAAAATATAGAAGTCTTTTAATAGCATTGGCTCCTAACATCCAGTTGTAGCTGAGATCAACAATAGCTGTCAAACGTATGAGAAGATCACCCTGGCTAGCAAGGAACTGCGCAACAATCTTAGATAGAGGAATACGTGTATGTCTCTCCTTTGGCGGGTGGAAGTCAAGGTTTATCTTTTGGAAAAACTGCAAAACCTATCTTCATGATTGCACTTAAATTTAAGCTGATGGAAGAATACGGTATTACCATTGACTGGAGATTTGTACTCACGATTTGCCAGGTAATGATGTCAGCTGTGGTCAGGCATAATTTAAACATAGGTGTATCAGACTTGTGATAGAGACACACAATGCCACTGATTCCCTGCCTTGCTATCAGAAAAAGTAGACGTAAACTGCCTGTCACCTATACCCTTCAGATTAGTAACGTTACAATGCTGAGCACATCACAGATGTCATTTACAGGTGCCATCCTTGTGTGGATGCCCCAGTGTTTACACTCACATACTCCTTCCAACAACCATCCCTTGACAGATCTGTTCACACAGGTTACTCAAGTCAGATCTGAATGTAACTCTGCAACAGAGTGGTCTCCACCAGAATACAGGCAGCATGCACAGAAAAGCAAACTGCCAAGGAAACAGCTGAAATGTGTTTGTTAATTATGAACCTAACTTTGCTGCTTGGTTAAGCCAGTAACAAACAACAGTATTACTGAGGCTAGTGTAATAGCACTTTAGAAAAACATCATCCTCAGTTTCTACAGTGACATCCTCATTACAACAGATCAGCAAGGCTGATGTCACACTTCAGACAGCTACAGTTTCAGGTGAAAAATGCAAATGCCACTGTCAAATTGCCAAATGAATCACACAGGACAATGGCATTTCAGCTCTTCTTGCATGTGGGTGCTCCATTCTCTTACCTTTTAAAAATCACAATCAAAAGGTTAGAGCTCCAGCTGTGGCTGGACTTGAAGAGCTGCTGCAAGCTATGGGTGACACCATTTAAAAGGAAAAAGTGCCACCAGTTATCAACTGAAATAATCAGTGCAGCTGCAGTTTTCAATATCATTCACAGCTCTTGATTTAGCCCCTTTTGTAAAAATGAAAGTTAAAAGCAGAGCAGCCATGTGTATAAATCAGTCACTGTGCCCAGGCAGCTTCCCAGGCCAGAGCACCTATAGATCGTAAGAAAAAGACTACAGTCAAAAGTCAGGAGAAAGCATTATTTACATTCATACTACACATACATGAGAGGTCAGTCTTACTTTTCATGCATGTAATGTCTGCCAGTGTGCACCCTGCCCCAAGTTTGTATTTTTCTGCTCTACTACGCTTGACGTGAAATTTATTTTATATGTTCACTGCACTTGAAATAGTCACAGACATACATGAAAAACACTGCTCCATTGAGTTAAGAGGTTATTGCAAACAAGACTTCTTTAATAAAATCCTAATGCCTAGAACTGTGACCTGCACTTTATACAGACTGGCGATGACACCAGTAAAGTCAGTAGTTATTCCAAGCACCTCATACCAATTAAAGTCAAAACTTATACCCACATCAGCCTTGCCTACAGCTTTATATTTTGGAGAGGCTGATTTTAAACCAGATCACCTCCCGATCCAGTTTGGAGGATGTCTGTAACATGAACAAAAAGGTGATATGGGGCAGACTCAGTGTCCAGCCATCAAAGGGCAGTTTATTCCAGGCAGAAGCACCCACTGAATTACCGCAGCACAGCACCCCACCCATCTCTGCACAGCAAGGGAGTCCTGAGTGGTGGCTGTTTATGAACAAGAGGCCCACGGGTTGCTTTCAGGGAGCTTTCTCTGGACAACCCATGTTGAAGCATTTGTGGAGTCACTGCAAACAGCCAGTGCCCACACAAATTCCTATCCTACCAACACCACAGTCTTCAAGGACGTGCACTTGGCCGGAAGAAGCGGCACGAGGAACTTAAACCAAAGCAAATGAACACACCAGCCAAGAACAGGAGGGGAGCACCATTGCCTCTCATCACCAAGCCATCTGGGCACTGGCTCTGGGAACTGGTCTGGGAGGATGCTATCCCCATGCTCCCCCTTACACTGCCCAAGGCTGCACCAGAGCACAGGAGAGGACACAAAAACATTTCCATCTGTTGTGCCTGCTCCAAAATGTGCCTCTAGTCAGTATGCTCAGGAAGTTGCAAATGGCAGGTACTTAAAACTCCGAAAGTATCTACAAAATTGTATCATTGAGCTAAAACAACTTGTTAAATGTATCAATGATCCAATTTTCAGAAGTACCAAGGCACTTAAGATACAAGTATAAATATGTAGCAAGGAAGTGAACAGCTTGTTTAGACCCTTTTGAGCATCCTCAGAAAGCAAGATCATTTTGTGTTTAGATACATTTGAAAGTCTGCAGCTCTTTGACCTGTTCTTCTCCACCATTCCTTGGCTGTATCTCATTTTTCCACTATACTATATAAATGTATAGGCATTAAAAAACAAGGTATTAAAATTCTTATGTTAACATTTAGGAAGGTCTAAATTCTTTTACGGGGAAAAAAAAAATCTCAGTGACACTGGACACTTTCATTTTGTGTTCATGGTGACAGCAAATGGATCCACTGCCATCATAGCCAAACAGGGCAAGAGCAGCAAAGAATGAATATCCTGTTATGCTTTCCTCACTAAAAGGAAAATGTTTAGTCTTTACTAATAAAACAGCAAACATATGAGAAAAACAGAAAGCCATGTTCCTGAACAGGTTACAAAAAATATTACTACTTTACCTAGACTTGAATTTCCTTTTGCAATAGTGATAGTCTTCTCATACACGTTTTTGACTGAATTTGGAGTTGTGGAACTTCCCTCCAAAGACAGTGGGCATCTCTTTTCCATTAAAAGCACTTGATCCTAACACAAGGAAAAATAACATCAGTTCAGAATACAGAGATAAAAACGTGATTGAACATACTGACCTGAACTCATCTTACTTTATACAAAAGCTAGGGGCATAATTAATAGATTCCTTACACTGACATGGGAAAAGTCAGTCCATCAAAGATCAAACCAACATACATGAGGTTTTGTTTTCATTCAGGTAATAAAGCAAATCTACCACAAACCATGCTTTTAATTTAGGGACATCAGTCGCACTCTTAAAATTACTGGGATGAATTCAAGGGGTCTCAGGCTCGTTCACCACAGATGTCTGACAATCTGCCAGTGCTAAAGTAACAAATCTTGTAAGAAATTGCAGCTCTCTTAAGAGTTTCTTAATAAATCACTGTATGGAAGGAAAAAGAAACATATGTCACAGTGACTGCCATACAAAGGAATATTATGTTTGCACACTGTGGCATCGCAGGCCAGTTTGTAAGCTGAACTGCTCAGGCTTGCACAAACACCAGGATGCAGGAGTTTTACACCACTCCCCCTTGGCTTCCTAGGCGTGGTTTCCAACGGTGCACCTCCTCCTTGCACCCATGCCTCTGCAGAGGTTAACAGGGGATAAGAAAAGCCCCCTGGACTGCCAAATGGGCACACTGTGGTCCAGCAGTGTCTACTGATGTGGGGTATGAGCAGACTTTTATATACCCCTGTATCACCAGTCTCTGGGATATGATTATCTTGATGCCATAAATTATCTCCTGTTTTGGATAGGTCTAAATCCCTAAGTTTTGATGTGAGCTACCACACCTCATGGACATCTATAATCAAAGAACCACACATGGCTGTTGCCCCGTGTCAATTTCTGTAGGAAATTCTATGGTGTAATGTGGTCTTTCTGTAGGTTTTTTTTAATATTAAAAAAAAAAAAAAATTACTTTTCCAGTAGGATCAAGCTGCATGATAGTAGCAAGGCTTGTACTTAGTGCAATTTCTGCTGTTGTCTGAGATCCAGTCCATGTTGCTGCATTTTCACTTTCATTTTGGTTGGTATCCGAAACATCCAGAGGCAGAAGATCCTTTTTAGCGAAACTAGTTGCAGTTTCCAGGCCATTGCCCATTACAGACTTTTGCTCTCTCACTCTCTGATTCACATCCATGCCGTACACATTCTTGTCAGATACACAGAAATCATCTGCAACATTTGAACATTCCTCTCCAACAGACTGTTAAACACAGGAGACAATGAACAAGCAACATTTTTTGTAGCATAATTGAAAAGTACATATCATACTAAAATCTTAAATGGAAAGTAACCTCACAGAATTTAAACGTATTTGTTGTAACATTGGTGTCTTCACTAGATGCCTACAAGCATTTTACTATAAAATTTACTTTATTCCTCAAACAATTTCTTCTATTTTAAAATACCAGAAATCAATGAAAATAAGTTACGTTTGAAGGCCAAATTCTAATTTGGTATCCATCAATAATGTTCCACTAACTTCAGTAAAGTAATGTCCACTCAGACATTCTCAAACTAGACATAACTGCAGCAAGTTTTTAAAATTAAAGCATCCATTTGTCTTTCTCAGGTGGAAGAACTTTGCAAGGCCAAGATCTTTACTTTCAAAACACTTAGCAAGCAATGAGCAATTTCAAGCAGCTCAGATAATAAGCATGCTATCTAATAACCCATTTTACTGAGCAGAAAGATATTTAGATATCCCTTCCATACAAAGAGGGAAAAGTAAAAACTCAGTCAAATCTCAGCAAAAAATGAACATGAGGTTTTGAAGTGTGACAACAGTGAAACAGAATGATGCAGTTACAGAAACTTAGCAGTTAGTACTTTTTGTAAGTGTGTCGATTATGGCTGCGGATTAAGTTCTCTACACAAAATTTGTTTAGCCTTCCAAGATTCCAAGATCCTGCATTTTAAATATTTTAAGGGTTTTCAATAATCACAACCTTCTGAAAAAAAAAAAAATATCTTCAAATATTCCCTAAGTGAGCTTTCAAAATAAGTAATTTTAAAAACATGTAGGCCATTAGACATGAGAAAGTTATATCAAATACTTAGAGGTTGGACTTAGAGGCTCTGTATCAATATTAGGGATTTTTCTCTGACACATAGTAAATGTAGTCACAAGAACATCTACCTCTATCTGTCTTAGTTATTATACACTGGTCCTATTAATTCTTCTACTCCTTTTCCAAAAAGTGGGGAAAACATGTTTCCCAGAATTTGGGGATATTTTGCAACATTTTGTATCAAGGGCCTTAGGTTTTTCCTCATCTTTCATGAAGTGCGTAAATGCTTGCTCTGTCCCCAATCTTCCAAAAAGGTTCACCTGTAAATAAGTAGTTTAAGTAACATCTGAGAAGGTAATTGAGCAAAACCTAAATACAACTAATCTGAATGATGCAATCAATGAATTATTTCCTACCTTTTGGAGAAATGAACACCAGGACTACAGTCTATTTAAATTCTTTCACAAGGTTTCAAAGACACCTACTTTCAAGTCTGTTTTTTATCAATTTCCTATCAGTGAAATCAAGACACAGATCTTACTGCATTTATTCCATGTGCCATATATACATACTAGAGTTGCAGCACAAACCCATGTTTATTTTTGTCTGACTTAAAGAAAAGCCAATGCTGTAATTCCTGAGAGATACATGATGTCAGGAATTTGTAGCTACAGCAACATGTGGCCTCATTAGAACATCTGCCTTTAAATACTTTTTTTCAGTATTTATTTCAGAAATGACACTAAAGGCATTCAGAACCTGTCAACTGCCCTGCAGTAAGAAATAGCCAAAATACCTCTGCATTCCTCATAGCATTGAATAGCAATTTTTTCATTTTTACTGCATTTCACTTGCTTCAAAAGTCTTCTTTTATGAACAGATATTCTTGCTACACTTGCTTTGTGAAGTCACTCATAACTGCAGAGTATAAAATGTTACCTGATGAGAACTTAACACTCAATTCTTACTGGTACACAGAGAGGAACATGGAAAAGTAAGCACCATAATCTTTAAAAAACGTGTAAACCAAAACCATCTTTAAGTCAAAGCTGAAAATAACTTAAGACTTTCTAGAGCCTCAACGTGATATATAATGTAAATCCAGCCTCTATCTCATAAAATGCTTCTCAGCATGCAAAATGCATAATCCGTTTAAGTAACAATTACAGCGTTAAACAATGCAATCTGTCCCACTGGCACAGCAGAGACGTGCTCTTCTGTGGATTAGGAGAAACCATTAGAAGATGAATTTAGTTTTCCAACCAGTGCCTCGTAAGGGCTGAACATATTCCAGAAGGAATAAAGGGAGTTACTGCAGCTCAGGTGGAAAGGAAAAAGCAGCAGCTACTCTATTCAAGACCACAGACTGCAAACTCTGGAAGAAATCCCTACAATGTTGATTTCAAAGATGACTGCTAGGAGAAATGACTTGGAGACTCTGGATTAGCGAAATAAATCTATAGATTGCAAAGAAGAAAAGAATGAAAAACCATGGAGAGAAAACACCAACTCTGACATAACCAAGTCATTATAGGTATGTGACCAGCAAGAAAAAAAGATACTGATCTTTGTAATACTCTTAAAGAACTTATCTTCATTTGCTGACTTTACATAGAAATTATTAGGAATCAGATGTTTGATATATACAGATTTATTTTTAATTACAGTATCATTATGAACATTTAATTCAAGTACACAGTAAATGAATTAGCAAACACACTGACTATGAAGCATAAAAGCAAAGTTTAGAATGAAAACATACTCTTGCTTTTCATACATAAATATTGTAGAATAATGCAGTTATTTTGTGTTACCACTCTTTACTATGCTCTGAAGTAGTAACAATTAAGGTTTTGCAGCAGACTGCTCACCACACCTTTAACCCTATAAATATCTCACCATACTTTATCTGGCTATACAAAACACAAATCCAAGCTTTCAATGTTCTAGCTGCCTCTCTCCAACACAAATGTCTGAAAGACACCAGCACTACCCTAGGCAAAACCGCACTTTATTATGGTAACAAATAGTACAGTTTGAACCAGAATGATACAAAACATTTCTATCTAATAATAATACAGCCTTTTCACACTTATAATCAAAGCTTGTCATCAATAAAACCATCCTCTTTTTTACCTTGGGAGTCGACAATGGAAGAGAGAAGCTGTAGTTCAGCTCACCGCTACAGGCACTGCCAGGCAGAGATATCCCTGAAGCCTGGAAGACGTCACTCTCTAGAGAATACTGCGATTCAAAGGTGGACTCATCCACTAGATCTGCCTCGCCGGAGTCCACCTAACAACAGAAGCAATTAAATCAGCCAGGCTATCTGTTACCTTCACACCACATAAAGCCCCGACACATGCACCTCAGCCACTACATACTGATAGACACTTCCCTTCTTTTTTTTCCCTTCCATGTTTTACATTGAAGTTATATTTGCACAGCACAGTGGGAAAAATTTCTGCTCCCAATTACAATCCATGTTATTACACCTTCAGAGGTTCCAAAGAATATCTTAAGTGAGAGTCTCAAATAGGATGAGCTGCAGGGCTGAGGCAGGCTCATGCCTGTTAATAGAAGTACAAGGTATTGGGAGAATTTTGTTGTACTTCCTGGCGTCAATATTTTGATTTCCTTAGGGCTTTTGTTTTCTTTTTAATTTTGTCCTACAAGAATTAGCACTGAAAAAATAATGAGCTTCACCTAGTGCCACCTGTCAGGAGTGTTGACTCCACCCAACTTTGTAGGTTCGGCTGTCTTAAAAGGGTACAAAAAATAATCTTCTGGAAACTGCAATGCTTTCTGATACATTTATAAGAAAAATTTATGACATCAAAACACTTTACATTTGACAACAAGATTAATATAGACAAATCTGCTGTCTTAAATTGGAAATTTAAAAAGAGTTCCAGACACGGACATGGGCAGTATTTTTTGCATTTTTTTTCTTAAATGAAATATATTTTTTTTCAAGATTCATATACTTTCAAATAATAGTATACAATTAAGTCGTAAAAAATTTATGGTGCTTCACATACTTCGATTATAATTTCATCTCCCCTGCAGAGATCAGGAAAGCCGTGTATGCTAACAAAAATGATCAGTGAGTTCAGAGCCATGACCATACCATAAAGTTGTATGAAGCAGCCAAGTCCATCCATCTGCAGAGATGGGAACCTAACTGTTCTTTTTCAGCCTCTGTGGTTAATCATACTATGAATTCATTATGTCAGATTCACAACAGTGGTAGCAACAATCTACAGTGATTCAACATACTGATTCTGTTTTGGGGTAGAAATGATAATTTTTTTTTTACTGTCTCAACCCTAAAGACTTAACAGCTAATTCAAACTGCTCCTTTGGTGTAACGTACTCTCAGCCCATCTTCTGGAAAATGCAGGCTAGTATTGCGAGGATTGTGAAAAACAGGGACAGACCTGTAGAATCTGGCTGTAGATTTATCTATGAAAAACAGTATCTCATGGTGTACTCTGCAAACACATCTTCAGCTGTGTGACTGCACATTCAATTTCATATTTTGCACATTTAATTAAGAGAGTTGACAGAGTTGACAATTTAACCATATTAGTATCTGCCATATATTTTCATTGTTCTCTCACAATTTTAGTTTTATTATATGAATCACAGATAGAAGTAAAATTTTTAAATAGTTAAGTTTTAATCTGATCTTTTCAACACATCTTTAATTAAAGGATATTTACAATATATAAACTGGCTTCTTCATACTTCCTCTCAATTAACAGAATAAGGCAAATGCTATTATCAAACTACTGTACCAAGGTAACAAACTGCAGAAGAAAAAACAGGCAGTCTTGTTTAAGAGCAAGTTATTAAAACTAGCTTGCCATCTGCAAATGTGAAAACATAGCAAACATATTGGAATCAGTAATTCAGAGATTTTTCTCTTGGAAGAATTCATTTCAGGTTTTTTGTTTGGTTTTGGTTTTTTTCCAATTAATTAAGTTCTGATGTTTACTAGAAACTGCTCCCGTGATCATGTCCCCAGAAAATGAGGGGCAAGCAACTTCAATATGAAACCCAGATCAGTACAAATAACCATGAAAAGTCACACTCAGAATATATTTATATTCTGGCTTTGGGTTTGTGTTTTTTGGGGTGTTTGGTTTTTTTGGTAGAGTCCTATTTCCTTTGTCTTTTTTATCTGAGTTCTTACTGGTAACACATTTTCTTTTTTACAGTGACATCTTAATATGTAGGGCACTGAATGCTCAGGTAAGCCACGTTGTTTGTACAAGTGAACACCTTTTGACCTTGCAAATCTCATAATCACTGATTGATGCTTAAGTTTAAAGAATACTATTAGGAAGAAGCATTGCCAGCTTTTGAAGACAAACAGCATTCCTTGTAAGGCTGGCTTACATGCAAAAAGAGAGTTCCAAAAACTTTTCAAGGTAAAGAAGTGATGTATTATGATATATAGGAGAAGAGATTTATTTACAAAATAAGCACATGAACATTCCTCTTTACAAGCTGAGATTTTCAAAGGGATACTCAGTGCATGCAAGAAGTTGGTTGCCATGCACTTTTGAAAATCTCAGCAAAATACTTCCTTTTTTTCTAGCAATTAACATATCATAGGCCAGATTCACAGCTCACACAAATGGACAAAATTTCCAGATGCCAGTTTCTACCATGTGAGGATACATCCCAACTATGGTGGATGAGTAATATGCTGACAGTAAACACTAAAAAATAAGCATGAACAGTGACAAAGCAACCCCTTTCATTACAGAATGCAAAGACTTAAGAAATCTTGGGTAAGTTGGGCCACTAACCAGAGCCAGCTCAGCATGGAAGAGGGCTGCATCAGCTGGCCCCTCCTCCTCAAGTGACTGGGCAGTGTAGAAAAAGCAATCTTCCTTAGCAGAGACACAGCCCTCCTCTGGTGAAAGCTGCAGAAAGAATGAAGCTCTGAGTTGGATGAGTGGCCAGGACACAGGGTGTGCACAATGTGTTGTATGTGGTGGTTTAGAGAGGCAAATGAATTCCAAATGCAGCAAAGAGTTCACTTCAATCACAGTCACAGTGTTGGGTAGGTGAAGAGACAATTTTTTTTTTTTTTCAAATTTATCTGAATTGATTCAGCTTCACATCTCATTTTACATCCCCAAGTAATGAAAGAAGCCTATCAGACTATACCACAGAGCCCACAGCTTAGTCTAAAAGCTCATCCGCAATTTCTGCTCGTATTAAACATACACTAAAACTGCCATCAGAGCTGCCACTAGGGAAACAGCTAACAGCAGAGGCCTTTACAACCTTGCTAGCCACCGAGTAATCTTGTTAGCAGGCAGGAAGACTGCATCCACTGCCTATGTGTTAAGATTGTATCTGCCAGGTAGAACAGCCTCAAGAGGAAAAACAATAATTCTGACTATAAATCAGTACCTTTTTCCAACAAAATTTGATAATAAGTGTACTCAATAGGTACTGCAAAGAATCCAGTGATTATTCATAATGGTTAATTAATTAGCAAGAATAACATATGAAATATTACAGTGAAAATGTTAGAATGAATCACAGAATCAGAGAATTTTGGGTTGAAAGGAACTTCTTAAGGTCATCCCCTGCAATGAGCAGGGACATCTTCAACTAAATCAGGTTGCTCAGAGCCCCATCCAAACTGACCTGGAATGTTTCCAGAGATGGGGCATCTGCCACCGCTCTGGCAACCTGTGCCAGTGTTTCACCACTCTCATTGGGAAAAATTTCTTCCTTCTATCTAGTCTAAATCTACCCTGTTTTAGCTTAAAACCATTACCCTTTGTCCTATCGCAGCAGGCACTGCTAAAAAATCTGTCCCCATCTTTCTTAGAAGCCCCCTTTAAGCACTGGAAGGCTGCAATAAGGTCTCCCCAGAGAATTCTCTTCTCCAGGCTGAACAAACCCAACTCCCTCAGCCTGTCCTCACAGGAGAGGTGTTCCATCCCTCTGATCATTTTTGTGGCCTCCTCTGGACCCACTCCAACAGGTCCATGTCCTTCCTGTGCTGAGGGCTCCAGAGCTGGATACAGGACTTCAGGTAGGGTCTCAGCAGAGAGGTGTAGAGGGGTAGAATCCCCTCCCTCGACCTGCTGGCCACGCTGCTTTGGATGCAGCCCAGGATACAGTTCGCCTCAGGGCTACGAGCACACATTGCCAGCTCATGTCCAGCTTTTCATCCACCAGTACCCCCAAATCCTTCTCGGCAGGGCTGCTCTCAAATCCTTCATCCCCCAGCCTGTACTGATACCATTTAATGTTTACTAACTTCTGGGAACAGAAATAAAAACCCCACACATTTTCTTTTTTACAGTGACATCTTAAGTATGAAAATGTTGATTTACAAGACATTTTAGTGTGTAACACGGAGTCTCCACTACAAAAAATGAATTTAAGAAAGGAAGTTAAAAAAGTACTCGTTTTATGAAAAGCCAAGTTTCTAGCAACTTAAACATCAGCCATTCCCTCCCACTCTCTTCACAAAGACCTACTAAGAATGAAAATTTGATATCCGCATCCACAAGAATTACAAGATTAAAATTTCATGAGCAGCAAAAATTAATGCCAAAGACTGCACTTGGGCTTACAAATGTAGTGAAAGGTATCTCCTTTGTATGCATGAACTGATGCCATTCTACTGATTTGAATTTAACACACCAGGGACACTAGTCCACTAGCATCCTTACTGATACACTATCTCAGTAACCCTAGGTCTCCTTCAACCTAACTGTTGAAGACTACGTTCTAAAATCAAACCTGAAATTATTTACGGCTATACTGAAATAACCAGTTTGAGGCATATGAACTGAAGACTACTCACCATTGTTTACACGTAAAGTGTGCACTCTAAATACAAAGACTGCACATGTACTCTACCTTGCAAAGTAGAGGAATAGACTAATTCCAGATAAACCACATAAAACTGACTTTATGTCACCATCTCACACATTCAGAGAATCTTGTAAAGTCTATAAAATTTTGCCTGGCAACTTGCAGCCCTTAAAGACTGCTGGTTGCAAGACACTTTGCTGTTTTGTCAGCCGCAAGACTGGTGTGGTCCTGCAACCACTACACCAGTCATACAGTACAAAGGCCACTCCTACACGCAAGGAGATACCGGAATCCGCCAAAGACAGTTTCTGGATGTTTTGAGCCACCCAGCTGTATCTCAAAGCACACAAAGTGTCTGCAGAAGTCAGGATCAGCATGTAACAGCCTAAGTAACATCAAAAGTAACCATCGAATCCCCAGATTCTTACAGGCAGTGGTTTGGCAACTCCTATTTTAACTGTTCCTGTTGGGGCTCCTTTCAGTGCTTGTACCGCTTCCTCCAGGCTGCCGTTTTCCAAATTGGTATCATTGACAAACATAAGCCGATCTCCAGGAAGAAGTCTGCCATCTTGCTCGGCCACACCCCCAGGAACTAATGAGCGAATCACAATTACAGTGTTTGCTGGATCAACGGGATCCTAATTTTAAAAAAGGAAGAAAAACATTTCATTCTATTTACTCTTCCGTGTTTTGAGAGGGTAACTTTTATGCATGAGCTTTTAATAACCAAACAGAATTGGGCAATTAAAAAAATTTGGAGCTTTGCTCCAGATGAACCCTCAGCAGTAACATAAGCTCCTGTCCATACTGCCCATATGTTTAGACTTCCACCTATTTTTAATCCTTAATTCTGAAAATCATTACTCCTTCCTAGGTGATGTCACGTCATGTATCTCCAGCATAAAATACTGCTAAATTGCAGAGTGCTGTTCGTTCTGTAATGAGTAATCACACACCAGAAATTCAAATACTTCCTGCTGCAATGACAGCATTGGAGATTTCATGCTACCTTACACTGAGTGCTTTGGAAATACAGCTGGGCAGTGCAGACTGGGGCAAATTTAACACATGCACTCTAGTGGAAGAAAGGGCTTATTTTCAGTAACTCTTGTACTCCATGGCACTAGATCTTGCTCAGTTGAGAAAGCACTTTTTAAGAGGCAAGTCCTTGTGCATGGCTGATTAAACACTTTACGGGAGACAGGAACATACCAATACAACACACTAATCAACAAGACACAACAAAATGGTGGTTGATTTTAAAAAAGAAAAGTGCTATGAAGTCTGCATCCTCCAACCGACTGATTTTTATAAAAACACTAACATCAAATACTAGTAACAGGAATGTATAATTCTATTATAACAATTATCACAGGTGCACACATTTGCATGATTCTTACAGAATTACATTCGCAAGGAACATCATTACATGTTAATACTTCTAACACACCGCAATTCATTTGAGTGCATGCACAGGAAAAAAAAAAGAGAAATGTAATAATATACCAGCTTTACTGATAGCAAAAGGAAGCGAAAAGCAAACATCTACAAACTGGCATGCAACTGTAAGAAGTTTCCATGCCAACATGTACAGCTGAAAGGATGCACACCATCAAGGCCGCACCAAAAACTACAGGAATTGGAGACTGCTGAAAGCTAGTGAGAGAGGGAAGGAGAGAGAGACACCAAGACGACCTTTAACACTTCATGGCAGTTAATGCAGTAAGAAGAATGTCATGGAACAATGAAACACTCACAAGTGGAAATACAGTCAGCATTGCTGGAGATAGTGCTTAAGCTGAACACTGACATCTTCCTCACTATTTTAACAGGTGTTTACACTGTCACTTTAGATGACACTGAATGACAATTTTTTTTTTTAAAAATCACCTCTCTAGTATATGTGATAGTCTTTCCTGGGGTAAGAAATTATGTAGACTTTCCTACATGCCTGCCATTGTATGAAAAATGAGGGATGTATTAGCATGAACATAACCATCCTTAATTTTAGTCACTGTTCTTTAAAAATTAATTGACAATTTGACAGAAACAGTGAAATTCAAAGATAAATCTCACTGTAAACATATTGTTCACAGTCTTAGATGAAAGCAGAAACTTCAGTGACAAACCGAAATGTTTTAACACATGTCAAAGGAGAGAACATAGGACAAATCACAAATATTATAACATCAAAAAAACTGTAAGTTTCAGAAAGCTGACCAGAGCTGTAGGATATAATCAAACTCACATTTGCAAAACATATAAAACAATTTATGGTACTTCCCACAACCCTTCAGTATTACCATCCATACACAAAATTCAGTAACTAGCCACACAGGCAACCACCATTTGTGTCCATGCTTCAGAAGAGGCTGGAGCAAAAATTATGTCAAATTAATAAGTTACAACTGAGAACAGGAGGAACATTGGTTCTGGGATCCTGACCAAGTGCAGGCAGGAGACAGGCACTGAGTTGTTCATCGGGACACACCAACAATCACAGCTTGAGATACCCAGGAATTTGAAGTCAAACACAAAATGAGTGGGGGTGTTTAGGCATTTCCTGAACAGACAGCAGCTAAGAAAGGGATTTCAGAATTGCAGTACTGGATTTTAGTAAATCCTGCTTTAAGCACCTAAGTCCTTTATTGGATCTTGCCCTAAGCACCTCAGTGCAGGTGCAAAATACATGGCTAAATGCCTGAATATTCTGACTACATCTTTCACTGTCCCTGGGCCACTAGAAGCTTTCGGAAGACCCTAGTATATTACGGATTATCTACTTTTCTGGAGTAGTATTACCATTACCATTAGAACCTGTAGTCTTAATACAGTAAGAAGAGTAAGTAATGTAACTAGTGGGATGTCCACCAGTAGTGATATCCATTTAGCTTTACTATATTGCTTGGTTCCCATTAACATTTACCCATAAAATACATATTTAGATCATATTGTGAGATCCAAACAATACAAAGTATTTTGTCTTCTACTCAAAGAAAGGAGGGCAGAAGTTACCTGGTAGTCCAATATGCTAAATCCAAGTCCTATACTCCCTTTCTCCAGCTCAATGTGCTGTACTTCCGTTTCCCACATCGCCAAAGAAGAGCTTTGTACCTCTTCCATACTCTGACCCTCGTCAGCTATTTCCAAAGCTGTTCCCTCTGTATCTGACGAGCCAATGAATCCAAGGTCTATGTGAGCCTGAGAAAAACAGTGAATGTTCACCAATAAAACGTAAATGTTTGTGAATCTGCAAAGACAAAACTCTGTTCACAGAGAACAAGATAAAAACGAACTGATGTGTCTCTAAACACAGAGAAAGTGCAAGTGCTCAGCAGAGTAAACAAGTCTGATACACCTAGAACATATCTTCATAACAAAATAGCCATGCTGTAAGTATATGAAATTAATCACAGGAAAAAAATATTTACACAATGGAATTTTTGTCGAACTAAAAACTTCAGAAAACTTCACTGTGCATGTATTCAAATATATAGGAAACATCTGTTATTAAACGGTATGTCTAACAATATGTCTTGATCTAAACATAGTAGCACTGACAAGAGTGAGAACATTTAAAAAAAGAAAACACAGACACACACGTATGTTCTTCGCTTTCCTTGGTTTCATAGAAAAGCTCAGCAACTACAAGCTGAATTTGGTGCCTTGCCCAGAACTCAGAATTAACTGCATCTCTTTTCATACAAATGCTTTTGCTTTGTATACTATACTGCAGGCCATTCCTACATGTTTAGTACATCAGGCTGCCCAGAACTTTGCACTTAAGAGTGACAGAAGTTGTCCGCTACTGATTACACATGCAGTTCTTCGCAACACAAACCCAGAAAGCAAAGTTCAAAACCAGATTAAATACATTCAGATTGTAAGAACACACAGTTCCATCTGCCATACCCCCATAGCCCATCTGCAAAACAGAATTTAAGTACTTTGGTAGATAGACCTCCATCCCAGAATATTTCTGCCCATGACCGACCGGGAGCGACATCTTCTGGTGTCCTAAAATAGTTGATGAACATAATTTGACTTTATTTATCTGGTTCCAAGTCCTAAAATATTAAAACTCATTTCTAATCTTGTACAATAACTTTAAATGTTTTTTCTCAAGGAAAAGGTGATTTTCTCAGTAATCTTTTTAAGACAAAATACCTTTTCTGTGAGCTGAATGTCAGACAGACTTAGACTCTCCAGTACTTCTGGGTGAGCGATGAGGGGAGCTACTGGACGACAGCACACCATTGTCACTTTAAGAGGCAGTTCTTTCAAGATATTGACCACATCCTTGTGGTTTTCTCCAAGCAAAGAGATCTCATTCACCTCAATAAATAAAGAATACACAGTGTTCAAAAGTACACACAGTATTTAGCAGTACAATGAACAAAAATGGGTAAAAAAAACCCCAGCTCACTAATCACCTCATTTAAAAATAAAACAAAAACAAATAACCACACTAATGGACATTGTCAAGCCTTGATTTCTACTCAATTTGGTACTCAGAATCAGCACCAAGTTAAGTTTTGAACTGAATGGACAGTCTCATAAATTGCATGACACCATCCTACAAACACCACATATTCTGTCACTTCATGTTTCTTTTATTCACTGTGAACCAAATTCACATTTTAAGAAAATTATTTAGAAACGTAAACATATACTTAGTCCCTTCACTGCGCAGGGACTTACTGTATCTTAATGCTTTTGCTAGGTATTCTTTTTTGGTGACCTTGAACTGTATCTGAAAAATCAGCTATGAGCTGAGAAATGCATGTAAGCATATACATTCACATAAATGAATGATGAGCAAGACTGGCAGACTGGTAACGACAGATGAGAAGGCGGCTGAGGTACTCAACGACTTTCTTTGCCTTAGTCTTCACTGGCAGTCTCTCTTCTCACATCTCTGGAGGAAATGGACTGCAAGATGGGAACCGGGGCAGCAAAGTGTCTGCCACTGTAAGAGAACATCAGGTTCAAGACCACCTGAGGAACCTGAACATGCACATGTCTACGGGACCTGATAAGAGACATTACAGATTCCTGAGGGAGCTGGCTGATGTACTTTGCCAAGCCTCTCTCCATGATATTTGAAAAGTCCTGGAAGTCAGGTGAAGTCGCTGGGAACTGGAAAAAGGGAAACATTGCACCCATTTTTAAAAAGGGTAGCAAGGAGGACCATGGGAAGTACCAACCTGTCAGCCTCACCTCTGTGCCTGGGAAGTTCATGGAACAGATCCTGCTAGAAGCTATGCTGAGGCACATGGAGGACGGGGAGCTGATTTGAGACAGCCAGCATGGCTTCACCAAGGGCAAGTCCTGCCTGACCAAACTAATGGCCTTTTATGATGAAGTGACCATGTTGGTGGACAAGGGAAGACCTACCCACGTTGTCTATCTGGACTTCTGTAAGGCCTTTGAAATGGTCCCCTACAACACCCTTCTGTCTAAATTGGAGAGAGATGGATTGATGGGTGGACTGTTGGGTGGATAAGGAATTGGTTGGATGGTCGCATCCAGAGGGTAGCGGTCAATGGCTCAATGTCCAGATGGAGATCAGTGATGAGTGATATTCCTCAGGGGTCCGTATTGGGACCAGTACTGTTTAATATCTGCACGAGTGAGACAGGCAGTGAGATTGAGTGCACTCTCAGCAAGTCTGCAGACGACACCAAGCGGAGTGGTGCAGTTGACACACCTGAGGGACGGGACGCCATCCAGACAGACCTGGACAAGCTTGAGGCATGGGCCCGTGTGAACCTCAGGAGGTTCAACACAGCCAAGTGAAAGGGCCTGCAGCTGCGTCAAGGCAACTCCCAGTATCAGTACAAGCTAGGGGATGAAGGAATTGAGAGCAGCCCTGCCAAGAAGAACTTGGGGGTGCTGGTAGACGAAAAGCTGGACATGAGTCAGCTATGTGCGCTTGCAGCCCAGAAGGCCAACCATATCCTGGGCTGCATCCGAAGAACCATGGCCAGCAGGTCGAGGGAGGGGATTCTGCCCCTCTACTCCCACCTGGAGTCCTGCATCCAGCTCTGGAGCCCTCAGCACAGGAAATACGTGGACCTGCTGGAGCAGGTCAGAGGAGGGCCACAAAAATGATCAGAGGGATGGAACACTCCTCCTACAAGGACAGGCTGAGAGAGTTGTGATTGTTCAGCCTGGAGAAGAAAAGTCTCTGGGGAGACCTTATTACCTTATTGCAGCCTTCCAGTACTTAAAGGGGCCTATCAGAAAGATGGGGACAGATTTTTTAGCAGGGCCTGCTGCGATAGGACAAGGGGTAACAGTTTTAAACTAAAAGAGGGTAGATTTAGACTAGATCGAAGGAAGAAATTTTTCACAACGAGAGTGGTGAAACACTGGCACAGGTTGCCCTGAGAGGTGGTAGATGCCCCATCCTGGAAACATTCCAGGTCAGTTAGGAAGGGCCTCTGAGCAAGCTGAGCTAGTGGAATATGTCCCCTGCTCACTGCAGGGCGGTTAGACTAGATGCCGTCTAAAGGTCCCTTCCAACACAAATTATTCTATGATTCTATGAAATACACGAGTACATATGAAGCGACTGCTCGAGCACTTCTGGTTACAGCTGGTATGCAGTTAGATATGCTACATTCCCAACGTCATAACCTGTGAGAAGCAAGTCACTGCTCAAAAATCTTACTGAATGCATACTAAGATGAAGTAGTATGTTCTCTTACTTCCAGCAGCTCATCTCCACTGAACAGCTTGCCGCTTCGCCCCACTGGCCCCTCCGGTAAGATAGATCTGATGAAATGATGTCCCACTGTAGCTTCAAGGCTTATCCCTAACCCACTGCTTTCACTAAATTTGTTAACTATAGCCACCTAAAATAAGATTAAGAAATTGTTACTTTTGACATATTTACAGCTGTACCTGTTACCTTCTGTTTCAATTCACATACAATGAGGTGAATATTCTAGAAGTGAGAAAGCAGAAATACTGTCATGTGTAATGGGGACAATCAGGAAAAAACTGAAACTTTGATCACATACCACTTCAGCGTAAACAAGTGCAAAGTGTACATGACAACAATATATCTAATAATACATACTTTTACTCTGGAATGTAATTTTGAAATAATGTCCTGAACTCAGATACTTTTCAACTGTATCTACAGTAAACATGCTCTGCATTATGTACATCATTACATCAACAATTTATTTGCTATGCAGAATGGCAGGATGTTTCAAGCACTAGCTTCAAATTCTGGCTAATGAAGGAAGCTTTCAATTTCACAAATATTATTTTTTCTCTAAAACACACTTATCCTCTTGAAGCTCTAAGCTAGTAAATCTGTGAAACAATACTCATAGGCACAGTAACCTAAGAAGCTTGTGGTTACTTTGCAAAAATCAATAGAGAAAAGTACATATCTATATTAAAAATTTAAAATCAAAGTAAAATAAATCTCAGGAGATTAATGAGTATGATTTTTATAAATAAAGGAGCAAATACAATACAAATATATTTCTATATGTTGACAACATAATAGGTGGACAGCTCAAAGGGCATTTAATAACAGTAAACAAAGTCTACCTACCACTATTTCATAATTCGAACCCATAATCCTCTGCCACTTTGCCTTCGTAACTGCTTCTTCTGCAGTAGTTATCTGGAAATCTAAAAGTTATGTCTGAGATTACTGTGACAACAAGCAAAACATCCTGTCTATTCCTGTAACTGATAAAGTATATGAACCATGCAAGACTACCTGATCATTCCCATGATGCCAGAACTCTCCTACATATGACTAAAAAGCCAAGCCTGCTTTGTCTCACAATGCTTGGGTTTACCAGAGGAAAAATTTGCAAAAGAGTATTATATTCCCCCCCTGCAAAATAACCATGTATTTTGAAAGACATGAAGCTCAGTCAGAAGGTCTGGTGCGCACGGCTCAGAAGAAAGGACACATATTTAAACTACCCTCAGTGTTGAGTGAATTTACTGTAACTTTGCAAGATAAAGGCACAAAGCAAAGGAAAACGTTATATGCACGCCTCAGGAACTTGTTAAACCAGACTGTATGTGGGTTGATCAGATTGCTTCAGAATGATAGCCGAAATACTTACATATGTCATACTGCATACAGATCATTTTGGACAGACCCTGCATTTCACAGAGAGTGTCCAAAGAAAGTTTTCAAACAAATTCTGAAGGTTTTGTACTTTCAAAACTATGAGCACAACTGTAAAAGATTTTTCTGAAACTGCAGGCCCTAGAGGGCAGTGAGAGAACACAAATCCTAGCTCTTTTTCTCTGCTCCACCCCCCCCCCGGTGGGTTAGATTCATATATGTGCACACATACAATAAGAAATAGTTCTAATAGCTAAAGAGAAGCAATGAAATTCCAAGGGAAGGAGGAGAGAAAAGTAATGATGCTGTGAACAATACAATGACAGGCTATTCAGCAAAATGCAGCAACTCTTATATTGATTGAATGTTTATCTGCAGGTTGAAAAATGCTTTTTTGAGAAATGCTTTACTCCTGTTCATTTTCCCCTCATTCACACTGTTTAGATTCTAAGGCAGGAAACAATAAAAAGCAGTATTTAGGTACAGCAGCCAGCCAACACAGCAGATTTAACAGGACACTACATATTCAAGTTCTGTGGTCTATGCTGTGCCTACAGTAAGTATCAAAATAAACTCTTCAGGTTTGAATGCTCATCTCAGGCACGAGAATCTTCATTACAAGATTAAGTTCCCAATTCCCACTGACTTTTAGTAAGTATTTAAAGTGACTAACAGTCTCAAACAGTGTTTTAAATCTAAAGCCAGGTGTTCTGTGGCATTCAAAAATGACAATACTTTCCCCAAAGCAGAGTCCCTGCAGTATCTGAAGGAAAGGTGTTAAAAGGAAATTCTTCAGCTACCCAGGATAATTGAAAGCGTAAGTTATGAAAAGATACGTATCACAGAATTCATATGGGTGATGCTTTTCAGTTCCCCTCTAGCTCTGTAAGCAGGAATATGTTAGAAAACACATCCAAGTGCTGTCTCAATCCGGAAAACATACCATCACATAGGACTTCTGAAATGCAGCACAGTGTCCTAACAGATCAAGAGGGAAAGGAAAATACCCATTAGAAAGTAAGAATTTCCACAAGAAGTATGAGAAAAGTCAGAGCATATCAGAGCACCAGAACTGACTGAATTTCAAACATTATCAGAAAACACAGATTGAAATGAATACGAGCTCAGGAATTTGGGAAAAGGAAGTTTATCAAAAGCGGTTGAAGTCCTGGAACTGCAGCTGGGCAGCTGCAGGGAGTTGGAAAGTTAAGGCATGTTGGGGAATGAGGACGGAAAAAGTTTAATACACAACTAGACTAAAAGGAGTAGAAATACAAAACTAGACTAAAAAGAGGACTGAGCATGTTAGCAAAAGCAGACTGCTTCATATAACATCTTTGACACATAATTATTTTCAGACACATGCAGTAGTCGATGATCTTACAGCACTCAAGAGTACATGCTTACATGTATGATTACTTTCACTTTATAGCTGTACCTCAGCTACACAGCACACAGGAGACAGAAAGGCACACAAAACACCTGATCTTTGTATAAGCACACCCAAATGCATTTTCACAGAATGAAACATTGAGAACCTGTTTCCTGTTGTTTCATGTCCTCGCCAGTATTTACCACACTGGCACTGCATGGCAGTGACGGGGATCCCTGTTCTGTTTCACTGTTACCTGGAAAAAGAAGAAGCAGCAGCCTTTTCAGCTATTTTATGTGTTGTAATATCCATCAAGCCCACAGGCAAGCCCACTGACTCTCTCTTCCACTGGACTTCAGAGGATCTACACTTGGCAAATACAATCTGGCATGAGGGGCCCAGAAGAAATGCCGTATTTTAAATACATTTTGTATTCTGTTAATGCTTTGCCTTCTCCAGTGAATTTTTCAATGAAACAAGGAAAAAAAAAAAGCGCACAACTATCAGTAGCTGCGTTTTTATAATTGAATGAAAAGTTAAATACAACATTCTTTAGCACTCTTGTATTACCTTTTTTGCTTCCCTTCCTCTTCCTTCCTTTGTGCAATTCAGGAAGCTGACACTGAAAAATGAAAATGCTACAGACTTGGAGACCTGCATACCTGACAGACTTTTCATTTGTAGAAAGCCCCTCCTACCACAGAGTTCTGTTAGGTATGTTGCTGGCTGTCAGCTGTCTTGAACGCCTCTAGGCTAGACAAACAGCACATTCTGAGCTTTTCCTCTGAAATTTTTGCTAAAGGTGGGAATGAGAGGATGACATACAGACAACACACTACTGAGTCTTTCAAAATCTTGTGTGAGGTGGGGATTATGCCTCAGTCTGTAAGTTGTGATATATTTCTGCTGACATCAACCTATAACACAAATAGCTGAAAAAAATCTGTTTGTGCATCCAGCCTCTGTGCAGATATTCTGTTCAAAAACACTTGACTTTCAAGATCTGGCACATATACTTCAATATGTGCACAGTATACAATTAAGCTGCACTAATTTCATCAAAAGCAAAATTAATATTGGTAATCGACTTCTGAACTTTGTACACATATACAGTTAATTCCCTATCAGGTTATTAATAACCTCTAGATGCCGGCCATTCCTCTCCTACCTTGAGCTTGTCACACTGACATGCAAGAGTGACAGGAACTGCGACTTGCTTTTGCTTGTTGTGGAGGGTATGTCTTTGCTTGCTCTTGAATGCTCTCACCCTTGAGCACAAATAAAACATTCACTGCCTTCTTACTATTTGAAGATTTGCAGGATCAAAGTCTTGAAGCAGTTCAGCCAGAAGTGCAATGCAGTGCAGAGCTTTCAACACTTGCTCTGACAATTTAGCAAGTAATACCACTGTGTCTAAAAGATTAATCAAACCATAGTAGGCCAAATTCTCCCCTCACGTACAACAGCTCTGCCATGAGTAATAGCTACCCACAATGAATCTGGCCCACTTTATTTCCAGTTTGCAACTGAGAAGAAAAATGTTTCAAGCCAGCTTTAAAGCAAAGACAGTTTTAATTACCTTTGGCTGTGCTACTATCCATTGTTTGGAACAGTAAGTCCTTCTCAACAGCAGCACTGAAGTCCTCCTGGGGCTGAATATGATTTTCCTGCTTAAGACCTCTTCTGATCAAAGTGAGCCGAACCGTTTGTCCCGTGTGCCGCAAAACGTCAACTGCTTGCTGGTTAGTAAAACCCTGAAGATTTGTTCCATCCACCTGCAAGATTAAGCAGCTTTTCAGCCCTCAAGACACCACCCAGAAAAAAAAAAAACAAACCAATGTCCAGGGCAAAATAATATGGTGAGCTCTCAGCATCTGTTAGCCTCAGCACAAAGCGAGGGACAAAAACAAAAACCGGGAGGACTGAACAACACTAAGCACTTTCGCTGGAGTACCCCACAGCTCGGTAACAATCAGTACCACAGCAAAGCAGGGAGAAGTGCTTTGGGCGCCCACCATAGGGGGCCAGCCACATCTGCTCTGTGAGGTGGGAAAGAACACAGCATGTGCTGTGCAGGGCATGTTGTGCAGCCTGCCTGCTCGACAGCTTCAGCCATCCTCACCTCAGAGGAGAAAATACTGGGTGAACAAACCAACACAGCCATGGACAGGAGAGCTGGGGAGGGGAGGGTGAAAAGAGACACATCCACTGTGGTAGGAAGAACTACAGAGCACAGCCGTCCTGAGGCCACTAAATCTACTACTGAACACCATGAAGTCCAATTTCTCAACGAAACACTGTCCCAGCCAGCCGAATGTTAACTCTGGTCCATCATTTTACTATTTTAAAGAACAAGACTTTGGCCTCTTCTGCTTGAAGCTACCCCATTACCTCATTAACTCATGTTCTTTTTCTGAAACTCAAGACTTTGGCATTGCTTAATTTCATCTCATTATCCTAGTACATGCCACTTTTTATTCTCATCCTCTCTGCACTCTGTATCATCCTATTCTTTCTCTGTCTCCTCTCTCAGTGCCTTTAACTTCTGAAATACTTCTAACAATACTATATTCCTTGACTCCTGTAGCTGTTTCAGTCTATCTGTAAAAACACATATATTCTATTATTTTAATTCCTCCTGCATGAAGAATGACACCTCCCTGACCCTTAAAATCATTTTAGTTCCGCTCTCTGAACTTCTTCCAATTTGTTGCTCTTCTAAATATAAAGTAACTAAAAATGAGCTGTGGTTATTTAATTTTTCCTCCACGTTTAAGCAAACCGTATTTAAAAAAATATTATTCTTTCATCTGAGGTCATTCAAATATTTTCTCCTTCGGCATCTGCAGTAGAATAAGAAATCAAACTTTGGAATAATCAATTTTAGCCATTCATACTCAGCATTTAAGTAATTATGACAACCATATATACTTCCACATACAAACATGCAAGCACATTTGGACTTGGAGACAGACATAACTTGATCTTAGTGCTGCCTTCACACAAATGCAAGGACAGATCTATGACAGCCACAAGACCACAGTTCCTGTATTCATGACTTTATTTGCAGCACACAACTAACATTTTATGAGTGAAAATATTTTTTTCTTTCTCTGAACATCTAAAACTATGACCTATTTTTAAAAATCATTTTGAAAAGTTGCTTAATTTGAATCAAACTTTGAAACTCTGCCTTTACTAAGCAGTCTCACAGCTCCTGCTGATAAGATACACACATACAACAGATTTTTTTTTAAGTATCACAAGTTATAATAAGGTAGCATAATCAAAAAGATACTGTGATTGAACATTCAGTCAAAAAAAGGACTCACCACTTCAACACCAATCTTAAATGTTTTAAACAAGTACTATATGAGAATTTCTTTACATCTTAAAGAAGCAGAGTTTTGCAGACAAGTGATCTCATTTTTTTCTGTTTACTTACAACTATAATTTGATCTCCCACATGGATTCTGCCATCATGTTCAACAGCACTGCCTTTTGTAATGCTTTTCACAAAGATACCAGAAGGTTCTGCAATGAAGAAACAGAGAAAATTAAATTAATTATTAAGAAACAATTTAAATAATGCAACAATCTCCAACTAACGCCACCAGACAATGGGAGAAAAAGAAAGAAAACACAATCTCCAGGTAAGATAAGGAAAGAATCGTCAAGAAAATACATGCTTTAAGCAAAACACATATATTGTTATTTTCCTAATGGATGAGCCTGATTAATATCAGCTTGCATTGGACCAGATTTCATTCAAAATCTTGCAATGCCAAATTCCCAACTGTTGCTGCAAATGAAATATTCTAACAGATGTTAACTAAATGTTGAAACCAACATCAATTAAAAAAACGTATCTTTGACTGTTGGTCAGATTTAAAACTGCAGGACAGAAAATTCAGTTTGAGTACACTAACCTGGTAAATTCTGTATTTTCTATATACTTAATATCTCCCTTAAGAAAATGCATGCTTGGATAACCAAATGCAGAATATATAAGCAAGTATGACTACAAGTTAACATCTGAACCATCTTTCAACTATAACTGCCGGTATTTGATCCAATTAAAAAAAAAGACAAAAGAAAAAAAAACCCAAACCCCAAAACAGAACCATTTTAGACCGTTACTGATTTTGAATCAGAAGAAAAAGTCTTTTATATAAAACATCTACAGAATGGACGTTGTAAAAAAGAAAACAATTTCAGGAAAAACACACTAGAATTTAAAACAACTTTAACAGCTCAGTAAGCTGAACATCTATGGAGTTCATACATACACATTTTGCAAAGTATACATGAAATCAAGAAAAATACTAGCATGAACTGGCATGAAATCAGGTCTGAGGGTCACAGGCCTGTTAACACTGGTATCAGAAATCTTAACAGAATCTACTTTCTCTCAACACATCTTCCAAATCTGTTAAATGAATACACTTGATGGGAAGATAATCCACTACAAAATGGGTTTTAACAGCTGTTAAGACACCCCACTGCCTTTGCAGACCTGAAACTCATCTTTTACTGGGCCTCAATATGACAAAAGTTAGCAACAAGGAGGGCTAAATCTATGTTTTGGTCAAATGACTATATTCAGCTTAGAAAGAATAAGATTAAAAACACAGTTAAGTCACAACACTGACAATTTTTTTCTGTTTGTTCTTTGTTGTTTTACCAGGTTTTGTGAATAACTAAATGGCTTAATAGCCTTAATTAAGTCTTAATAACTTCCAAGGGTTTTTATATCTTCTAACAGCTGTATGGTAACATGACAAGTTGGTATTTGTCATTCACGAAAGATACAGACGCAGATCTTGTTGTCCAGTACTTTATTGCTGCTTCCTTAACAGCAAAATTGTTCTTTAACTAAGTTTTAAGTCACAAAATGAAGTGAGATGCCCAAGTAGCTCCTAACACAAGAATATGTTCTGATGCAGTTACATGCAGCACACTAATTTAAAATCAAACATTAGCAATTAGTGACTCCAACACTAAATCAGTTAAAATACACTTATCAGATCTATCACGGGTTCTATAATTTAATTTGCCTTTTAAAGATTCATCTTGAAGCTGTTGAAGAGTGGATTTACTCAAACTGTGACTATTCTGTCCTATGGAACAGATTGTTAAAATTTAGTCCAGCCTCTCAAAGCCAACAAATTATGGCTATGAACTGCCAATAATGTGGGGTATATCTATCCATACATACTTCTAACAATACATACATGTGTAAAAGTCAAACCAATAGCTCTCTGAGAAGTTTTATAACACATTTGACAACTGTCCCTTCCTAGCAGTACTGCATTTGCCAAATCCCCCCTAGGGAGGCCTGAGTTCTGGATCACTTTTCTGAAAAATGTAGTGGAATTTACAAAGTAAAAATACACAACTATACAGGAACACTGTTCAATGTATTTATTTGAATGAACTTATTTATTGACTGCAACAACCCACAGGTCAACATTTATTATTTCCAGAAGTCACTAAGGAATTCTTCATCTGCCAGCACTACTACACACAGCTTAAAAAAATAACACCAGTAATTCCTAAAACTACTCAGAATATTAACGTATTATCTTGCAAGAGCCTTTTTAAAAATGAAAATGTAATTTTAAAAGCCCAGCTAGTTCTAACAAAAATGGCTCAATCTATTTTAGAAATGTTTTGCAAAAACATATATGCACAAGCTTTAGCCAAGAGTGAATACAAAAACTAATTTAGAAATGCTGAGGTGGGATTTCATAATAAAACTAATTGCTTCTAATCTGAATGTCCTTCTCACAAAAGGAATACAATTCTTTTTTCTTTACAAACTTCAAAAATATTTTAGATGGTCAAGGGTTTTTTTAGAGACGCTATACCAAAACTAAAATTAAGTCTTGGATGCACATGTACCATAGTACACAACAGATTGTATAGTAAACTGCAGAAATCGTTCATTACCTGATGTTTTGTCTCCAATATAACCAGCAATAGTTATTCCTAATCCCTGGTTGTTTTTAGTGAGTTCAACATTAAATTTCTCCCCATCTTCACAGTTACCAACAGAAGCATCTGCCTAATAAGAAAAGCATGATTAGAAAGGAAGCTTTTTTTTTTCTTTAGAGATCCACCATGTTATTTGATGGCATTGACATGAGAAGAAAGTACCAACATTGCTTTTGCTCTTATTTGGTGTTCAGCAGAGAAACTAGACATAGGTAACATTTTTCACTGTAAAGCAATGCAGGTCATGACCTCCCCACCCTGCTGTCCCTGGGATATTACCCTCTAACCCATAAAATCATTATTTGATGACTAAAGTGTCTGGTGAAATTTGTACAAATTGAACAATGAACCTCTTGTACAGTAAGTTACACAAACCATGCTTAAACATTAGAATATGTAGCTTGCTGCCCTTCTGGGACCTCATCAGAACCAGCTTTAGACTGCTGTGTTATTAAAAAGAAGAAAAAAAGATCAAAATTATATTTTGTGTTCTATTTGTTTAAATTCCTGTTCAGTAACTATAGCTATTTTTTTCCTACGCATGCCAGTTTAGAACATAATAAAAACTATTACTAGTGAGGCAATTAAGTCTCTTGGGTTGTGAAAGACTTAAAAATTCTGTTCTAGAAAGTAGCAATTACACTTCCAGCTAGTTAAATAATGAAAATCTCTGCTAACATCTACTACAACCCTCTGAATTTCAATAACAAAGAATTTTGGGGGTAATGAATTAATTTATTTATTGTTAATGAAACTACAATACATATTAAAATCCCATTTCAACAATATTGCTTTTGTATTAAAAGAAAAAAAATCAACTTATAAAACTTAATTTCAACTTTTAAAAGAGGTTTTTTAAAAATTTTTCATTTTCCAGCTATCTAAAACAGTTACTAGCCACTTCTGTAACTGGTGTATCAGTATATGGTTACATACACAAGGCTTCAATTTCATTGTATTTATATGGGCATTTATGCACCTATTTAAAATAGGAATTCATAAATATAGTACAAATCTACCGAGATCCTGCTATTTTATATATATTTTTATATATATATATTTATATACACTCCTATTTTATTCTGTCTCTTCTGCATGAAAAATAGCAGCTAATATTTTTTAAAGTGCTAATACAGCAACCAGGCAGATACTAACTAAACCCAGTTTGACTAAGATGAGTATGCATGTGCCAAAAAAAAAAAGTATGCTATTTACCAAAAGAGAATCTGACTTCAGTTCTTTATCTGAACAACTCCACCCAAAACCACAGTCAAACACAAGAAAAATTATTTTATACTGCTTTAACTACCTGTTTGCGTGATAACATGGGATTATTTTGGCCACAGGTAATGCGCCCATTTCTATAACCTCATGAATTTTTATGGGATACACATCTAAAGGGAACATGATGAGAAGTGCCCATTTTGGAAAGCCATTCTGCTCTCACTAATAGCTTTAAGATCATCATAAAGTCTTCACCCATCCTGTATTTGCCAGGAAGAAATAGACAAACCAAGCTGTTACCATCATCATCTTCACTTCAGATCCGAATCAATGACGCTTGCAGCACCATTAACTGGGTGCTCCCTCCAAGAAGACGACTGTGCAAGCAGAAACAGTTTAAAAATAGTCTGCCTCCTGCCAGGAGGTATGTACCAGGAATGAAGTATTGAAAAGGATGGAAATGGAGCAGAAGGTGGCAAAGAAGTAAAATTTTGATACTTGATGGCTTTGAGCTGTTTATTCAGTACTAGAAATCCTACACATCCTGCAGCTGCAGACATGGCCTTCAACGTTGTATCATATAACCTCAGAAAGGCAAATACTGAAGAAATATACACAGATTAAATTATCAAATTCGGCTTCTCTTTTGAGACTGACGCCTTTCTGATAAATAATAATGATAAATATTGATCCCTTTATCTAAAATACAGCCACATTTTCATGCCTCTAAGTGCTGTAGAGACACAAAAGTTACCAGTCTCTTCTTAGATGCTCAAAGACTCCATGTTGAGATTAACTTCCTTTGCCTTATAGCCACAAAAGAGGGGATGGATATATGTTTGTTTTCCACAGATACCACTACAGTGGACAGATGCAAAACAATGATAATCATTCAAAAATTATTAAGGTGTTTTTTCTTCCAAAGTGACCTATCTGAAATGTAATTTGTAACTGGGAAGAAAATGTCTAGAAAAACAACAGGAAAAAGTGAAACAAAAAATTCTTTGTAAGGCATAAATTCTATCTGTAGGCTCAAAAAGAACCCCCTTTTCTTCTCTCATTCACTTACTCCATGTATTCATATTTAAATGTATCTGATCATAGCTATATGTTACAAATCACTACTGTTCCTGGCTCCCATGAAACCAGGTTTTGTTGCAAACATGCACATGACCTATTTTGTAGCAGTTTTGAGCTGACAGGACATGGTAATATTTACAGCATTTTTTAAGTGGCTGACAGTTGTAGAGGAGTAACGGCACAGAGAGTACAAGCATCAGCAGGGGAATACAGGTTATCAGCCGGCTGACGTTTTTTGGATGATGTCTAGCAAATGAGCAATGCCAGGTGATCTAGGAAAGAAGCAGCATCTGCATGCTGGTTGGCAGAGGGAGGAACTGTCTGATGGACGGCTGCAATGATATAGAAATAAGAAATGCTCCTGGAGACAAAAAGAACAGGCAGAGAAATGCTGCAGGGCTAGTGTGCTCTGTCTAAAGAAAAGACTGCATGGCTTCAGTTGTTCTCAATGTACTACTGCAAAATCACAAGCAACACAGAACTAGGCATTATTCAGATCATACTTATGGAAGTTCTAAGCCTTGATCCCAAAAGGCTTCAAGCATATAGTTCCTTGTGTTGTGGACTCATGACATTTAAATTCTCTGTCAGCTGAGAACACTGCTACTGGGAAAGAAAACCCTGGCTTTTGAGAACATAAGTGCAAAAGACATTCAAACAGCTGTTAAAAGAAAAGGAAGTTTGAAGTAAAAGTTTGCCATGAGTTAAGTACGTTCACTGTTGCTTACGTGTTTCTCTGATGTGCAGATGGGTACCGGTGTACCTGGAGGGACTGCTGGTGGAGGAAGCTCCTCAATAGGACCTCTTGCAATTACCAGTTTCACTCGATTTCCACACTGCCTCAGAACTTGTGCCACCTGCTCACTGCTCATTCCAGCTAGGTCTGTATCACCAATTTTCAAGATGTGGTCTCCACTACACAATCTCCCATGCTGGAGGAAGGACAGTGATTAAAAAAAAAAAAAAAAAAAAATCTATTAGCATCCTGCCATTCCTCCCACATACCATACAACTAGCTTTAGTCACTTTTAAGAAATATCAACCAGTTGACTTTTTTTGGGTGCCAAGTCAATATCCTGGTAACATGGAGAAGAAAAGTAGGTTGCCTAATGGCACACTAATTTTACTAGAAATCGCCCCAGAAATATCCAGGACATCCTTTTACAAGCAGTCAGTCACTTGAGTCACAGAAAAAAATGCTTATAGTTATGGTAAATACCTACTGTTTTTTAACAACTGCATGGAGATTAGAGAACTTCAGGTTTCATTTCCAAACACACTTCCAAAAGACAGCATAGAAACGTATTCAGCTTTGCAATTCTATTTAAAAACTGGTCCTCAGGACTAACCGTAACTTCAAAATAAAATACATTTCTCCCTTACTGTGATCCAGTTATGTATATTGCTTTACACTGACGTACTCTCCTTCAACCAATAAAAAAGCTTCACATTAATTTAGCCCATATGAAAAGTATTAAAGAGTCAATTCTGTAGAAGGAACCCATCCACCTGCTCAGGAAAAGACTGTCGCAGTAAATCCTGTCCATGCATCTCCAGGCCCTGTTATCAGGCCACCAATTCTGTGGTTGGAAAACTGACCAGTCTCTTCACCTGTTCAATCCTTGACCATCATTAACGCAGCCCTAGACAAGCCTGCATTGAGCTGTGATCACCAAATTCAATTTGCATGAGCCGTTCAGGCAGGAGCACAGCTCGTTTCTGGAAGCAGATACATGAAGCCACATACCTGCTCCAAGCTTCAGTAAGCCCAGCGGAGAGAAGCAGGTGCTATTCTTAGCTGTCAGGGCAGAGCAAGTAAGTGTTTGGGGGGGGGGGTGTGTCCCGGATTACAACCAGTATATTCATGAAAGAATTATGAGTCCAAATGCATCCATGCCACATGTATAACGTAACAGGTTTGAAAACGTGATTTAGAGACTAATCCAGCTTTTACATTAGCACAGATCCCCTGCACTAAACACGCCTTTAACTGAGGATAAATTTCACTACTTGCTCTCTCCTTTTTAAAGTTAAAAGGAATAAACCTTTTAAAGGCTAAACCACTGCTTAGCATGATTATAAAAGTAAACAGTAACTTCACATCTTTCCAAATGGTAAACAGAAGGGCAGGTTGAATTTACCTGATCAGCCACACCTCCTGGGAGGATGGTTTTAACAATCACTCCAGTTGATTTTCCTCCCACTATCCCAAATCCCAGACCTGAGCCATCATTCACCAACTCAATGGTCTCCACATGCTGCCAGTGAACCTAAAAGGAATAAATATGAGCTTGCAAATGATTAAAATAAGGACATATGTATCAAAACTTGCAAAATATTTTCTCATATTTTCTGGCTACGTTTTTGAATAAAGGAAGGTGGGAGGAAGGTGGAAATATGGGACCTTTCTAACAATTACTATTAGGTATAAGATTACATAATATTTAAGCAATAAATTGCTCATTCCGTAACAGCTGGAATTTCTCTGGTACAAACCAGAGCTGGGTAGTGAGTCAGGCCTTTCAAGAACTTGCTAAATTAATTTAAGCAGCAACCTAGGACTGTCCACCTCAATGCCCCATTGCAGTCAGTGAGAAAAATGCCACTACTAGGAAATCTCATGGGACTAGAAATTGAAATCTTCAGATAAGTGCATGTTCACATCGGCCATTATGACAAAGTGCAGGAGGAAGCATAAACCCAATGCTGAGGTTAAGGGATAAAGTAGCACCAGGTACTGCAAGGTACGCATTAGCAGAAATGCCCCCTGTGTAACAAAGATTTCTGAGCTGTCTGAAGTCAACAGCACTGGAATGAAGTAGCTCTGATGGCAGGCTTCATGTTCTGACAGGAGCAAAACTGCTCTGAAAGGCAAAGGCTAGCTCACTCGCATGGGGCAGTAATGGAGGGATGACTGGAAGCTCCTGGTATCGTTTCTCCTGAAGACAAACCACACCATAAACTCATCTGAAATTTAAAACCACAGACAGTGCTCCACGAGGTAGGATCTTGAAAATAAGCCGTTATTTTGGAATAATCAAAGTACTGCAAATTCAAAGCCCTGTCATACCTGTTTGGGAAACCACAGTCTTAACGTAAGCCAATGATAACCAAGCAAAGCCTGAAGGAAGAACAGCTTCAGATAAGTTGCCTTCCCCCCAGTATTTGAAAGCAAAGGGAACACAAGAACAGGGAAAGGCAAGCATAAAAAAAAACAGAAGGAGCTGTGGCAGGTTTGAAAGGAACGCTTTTTTTAAGCAAGAGAAGCTGTTCAGAGGCAATCACGTAGAGAAAGACATGTGTCACAGGAATACTGGAAAAGAGCAGGCCTCTCCTATGTGCTGACAGGAAAAGTTAGGCCAATCAGCTTTATTCCTGACACAGAAGAAAAGAATAATTATGAAATTCTTCACTAAAGGTTATATGCTAAAGATTAAAATAAACACTAAAATAGCGCCTCTTCCCAGACTGATTGCTCCATATACTTCCCATTATCGACTCCCTTAAAGAGCAGCCACAGATGACTGAACAGCAAAACCTACAGAAGTCGGATAGGCCGCTGCATGACAGAAAAAGCCATTACATGAGTAAGATACCAGGAAGAGAAAGTGCGGGGAATATCAACATGTTTCTGAGCTATGTTCTCTACACTCAGATGTGCAAAAGCTTTCAAAAAAAAAGAAAACGTCGCAGAGCTGTTTTCTGGGAGTCCTAAAGTGTGTCCTACACACGGCATTCTGATGGCTGTCTTTTGTTGCTCTACTTGAGCCCTACCACTAACAGACAACAGAGAAACAAACAGAGAAGCACCCATGAGCTGGTGCTGCAGATTAGACTGCAATGCCTCAAAGATCCTCTTTACTTCTACCTCAAAATACAGCTTCATAAAGTAAGGTAAACATGCTGTACTTGTATTGGTGCATAAAAAGAATTTGGCAAATGGGAAGAAGGAATATGTCCAAGATCAAGATTCCCCCAGCAAGCCTGAATATTTTCTACTCTTTGCATGGGAAAAGGTACAACAAAGATAAACAGAGTTGAAGGAAATGTACATATAAGTTACAAAAAAAGTGTCAAAATACAAGATGCAGTAAGTGCATACATGACCAGAACTGAATACAGAAGACATCTGGGGTATACTCACCGGGTTGGAATGGGCTGAAACTGTGCTAGCAGCAGATGGAGACCGGGAAACTACAGGACTGATGAGCTGAGGCAATGTGCCCCTGGCCACAACTAGCTGGACATTATCTTTTGCTTTCTGTAGAATGCTGATAGCCTGTTGATGTGTAATTGTCTGATCAAGGGCTTGTCCATTAATAGCAAGGATTTGATCTGCTTCCTTCAGCTTTCCATCTCTGTCACATATGTGTAAACAGGGAAGGGGATGACAAAATAAACAAACAAGAGAAACCAAAGAAGTGCTGCCACAGAAATTACAATATTATGACAATTTTCCAGTATTTTTAATAACCTGTTCCCTGTTCCCCCCACTTTTTAATCTCTCCCTGCAGTTTTGCTGAAAGGAGCTGATGAGGCACCCTGGTGATCGCTTCCTTTGAAGTTAATCCCACTGCCACTCTTCCCTGGCTACTACCCCCTAGCTAGTTTTCTTCTCCCTGTACCCCCATGTGAGACTAAGCATATTAGATCTCAGTCACTCCCAACCATAGCCTGGGAACTTATGTTTATTCTTGACTTTGAGCCTCTTGCTTAACAGACCAAGTGCTCCACTTTGTTCGGTGCACTCATTCTGAATATTCATCAAACCGTGGAGTGGAACACCCTTTCATCAAGATGTTACGGAACAAATTTTGTTTTGCACAAAACCGGGGGACCGGCGGGGGGGGGTATGAAAAAAGAAGGGGCGGCAGAGAGACAGAAAGAAAATGATAAAACAGATCCCTTTTAAATGAGGGGGAAAAAAGCCCTGAATAGATTAAAAAATAATTCTTCACTTTCTCACAAGGGAAGCACTACTGTAAAATTACACACTGAGCCCTTCCCCAGACCTACTTCAAAGGAAGTGTATGAAGCCTACACAGATCAGTTACCCTCTGCCGCTTCCACCGTTTCCATTGCTTCTGCAACAAAACAGCAAAAACTCTGGAGTCTTTTCTTCAAGACTCCAAAATGACAATGCTTTGAAAACAAAGGGCAGCACGAAAAACAAGGATCCCTATTACAGCAACTTTTGTGAGCACCCGGGGTGTAGAAGCCAAGGTACTCAACAGCATTCAGGAAAAACACTATTTAGCTTCAACCTGTAGTATTTTTGCTTGTGAATTTGAACTGTTTTTCAGAGTCCTCTCGAAGACTTATTACTGCCAGGGCCTTTATAATTTATGAGCCGTGTAACAGTTTTTGAATATTTCTCTTCTAGCCAGTGAATTAGGCAGGGCCTGATTCAGTAAAGATAGGTCTGAACTCCATGGAATAAGGAAAGTAGAAGCAAAGACTTGAAGGGGGAAAAAAAAAAAAAGTGGAATTCAGGCAGATTAAAAAAAACTGTAATGACACAGAGCATGCCACTTTTCGTAACTGAATTAACTCTGTAGGCCACGCTCTGCCCTCTGTTAAAAGCACAGCGTTCAGACCAGAAATAATGAGAAAATTTCTCCCTACAGCACAGTGAGAAATAGCACCCAGATGACTCAGCCACCCCATGCAACATACGGGGTACACCATGAAGCAGCTGTGGCCAGGATCCTGATTAGCAAATCCACACACAGTGATACACCCCACCAGCCCACAGTGAACTCGTGCTGCTGCCATTCACCACTGAGTTCGTTTGTTTCGTCGGGTTGTTCTTCAGCAGAAATCCGTTTCTCTCAACGCTACTTGTGGAATCAGGACTAAAGTCCAAAGAATACTTTCGGCAAGTTGTTATTATTGCTGAGTTTCTGGTAACATCAGCCGAGTATCTTTTTTTAAGAATCCAACAACTTTAGTTCAATCTTTGCTTGACTTAAAAGCTGGATTTCACACCTGGTCAGTGGGACCCTACCTAACAAAAAGTCCTGCTAGTTACAACCAATTTTTTTGCACCAAATCATTTTTCACTGCATTCAAGGATAGCAAAATCCATATTTCAGCTTTAAAAGCCACAACACAGAACAGCAACCTCCCTGTTTTCCCTGTTGGAAAGGAGATATTATAAGCAAACCACAAATAAACTACAGATGTAGTTTCTAGAAATTCAGAACATATCCCATGCCACCCTGTTCCAACATTACGTATATTGTAGTGCTAAGTAATTTTAAATCTGCTATGATGTATGGCTTAGAATACAAGAGAAATGTGCCCTCGTACCACAAAAACAACAGCAATAACACAAGTAAATTGCAGCGTCATGTTAACACTTGGTACAGTAAAACACTCCTGTAGTAATTTTACCTATGTGCCACACTTCCTTCCTGGATTTCTTGCACAAATATTCCTAGTTCTCCCCTGTTTTCACTCTTGAGTCCCACGACACTGAAACCTAGACCACCACTGGAAGGTTTAGTAAGCTCGATGGTTTCAACAAGACGACCCTGTTCAGTAGAAGGAAAAAAAAGGGGTACAAATGTTAAAAACATTGAAAAGCAGCATTAATGCATGTGGTAAACAACTTAGAAATGAGTACTAATTTGACTGCTACCGCTGGACAAGGCTACACTAGCTAGTAACTGAAACATTCAGTTCCAATTTCTCACTATCATACAGAAGAGTGGCAATTATGAAAAATTTGAGAAATAAAGATTATCACAGCCCGGAAGAGGAAATCAGGAAACAACAGCTAAATATACAGCGTTTAGGCTTACTAGTGACCAAACTAGGACATATTTCTACAAAATTTTAGAAGGTACAGGCCAACTCTCAAGCAGAACTAGAAAAAGAGGATGAATTTCAGAAAGAGGGAAAAAGTAGGACTGTGCAAAAGGCTCTCCAGGAGAAAAGCAGAAGACTTCCCCTACCTAGCTCTATTACAGGTTAATTAGAAAAATGCTAGAATATATGCCTGGCCATCCCCAGCTCCAGGCACTGCAGGGACTTGTACACCATTTCTGCCTACCACCAGAAAGCAGTAAGATTACACAACAATGGGTAGCAAGGCCAAAAAGGAATTTTCCATCTGATTTCCAAGCAAGTCACAGAACTAACTTTCATTAGTTACGCATACAAGAGCATGCTCTAACAAAGCATCTCCCTCATGTACAGAGCAGCACTCCTACAATGAGCACAGAAAGATAATGGCATGCTGATCTGTGAGAGGCACACTGCCCAGCTAAGGGCAATAACTCAGCAGTGACAATGTCAAGGCTGCTTTTCCAACTATTTTCTCTCTTAACACTTGTTCCTCAAATTAAAAGGCTATTTTTGTTTTACATAGCTCTGATTTCCTTAATAACTCAACTGCTTTTAAATAAGCATACATGTATTTTAATTTTCCAGATAAACAGTGATCCACATTTTGTGGTTACCAGGTAACATGCTCACCTGGGACATACTTCTGATTAGCTGCTCAAAGTCATCACTAGAGGGCTTCCCATTAATCTGAGGAGTAATGGATCTCATCGATGCTTCTAGCACATTAACTGGGCTGCCATTCTGCTGAGCCAACAAGTATGACTCATTATGTGGCAAGGACCCCACGTTCATACCATGATGGAGAAGCTGGGGGAACTCACTAGAGGAATGTACGGAAGATGTAATATTTACCTGTAAAAGATTGATGGCAACACAGATTTAGACACAGCAGAAACCTCGTCCTTATCCAAAAGCATTATAATAGTCTAATTGCTTGTTAAAAAATATTTGAAATCCCAATTTGCAATTTTAAAGACATTCTAAAAATAAAAATTAAGATTTATAATCACTGTGAAGTTGTGAATTATCAGCATAAAACATGAAAGACATTGGTGAGAATAATCTAAAATTATTTTCCATACTCTGCCTAAAGTTCTTTTGTTCATAACAGCATAGGAGCTTGAAGTTCTCCAACACAATTATGAACAGTTTTTCTACAGTATGAGTATTTTTTAAAAAATCAAGTATTTTACTAGAAAATTCAAAAAAAGTACAGGTACTTCGATGAAGAAAGAAAGAAACCTCACCAGCTACATAGGAAGGAAATTTCACTAATCAGGGTTTCTGTATCACTATGCACTATGGCTGCCAACGTGACTCCCTACATGAGCTATAATTAAATACAAAATTACTGAGTAATTGATATTATATATATCTGATATTATATGTATTACATATAACAAAATAATGAATAAATACAAAATTACTAGACTTCTGAAAACCACAGATGAACTTTTACACAGACAGCCTTGACAATACACTTCTCTGGGAGAGGGAGAGAAAATAAGAAAATTCTCCACTTTGCCCAGCCGTAGTACATCACCTATTTTCAAGCAGATCTCTGCCAACCCATCTAATGAATGGCTGGTGGTGGTATAAAGCTCAGGTGAAGCAGGAGCCCTCAACTGGCTACTGTCCCACTTGCCTGTTTACTCCACATCGATCTGTTTCATACTTGCCTGGCACACTAACCACAATTCAGGACCACAATATTGCAGTCTCAAATATTTTTCGTAGTTTTACAGTGAAAATTTTCTAGTATTCTGCAGCACAATACGAAAGATTGTGATTCCCCTTCATTGAAGCCTTATTTTTCAACTTCAAGTATCAACAAAAAATTTCAAAACTGCAAATGTATTCTAAAATGTCTACTGCACCAATCTCAACTGTTTAAGCATGCTACTTCCATTAGGTTTATTATATCATTCTCCCAACAGTCCAGTCATTAAAAGGTCAATATTGTTCTCCATCACACAATTTCTTCTCATCTGGGTGGCTTTAGGAAAATATAATAGAACAAACATCATTTGTTGAACACCTTATGTGCCTTGGAAGATCCTCAAGTTACAGAAAAAATACCGCAAGACAGCACTGGGAAGAAAACTCCTCAACAGCACTGAGCCTGCTTGGCTGTAAAAAAAATGGAAAGAGGAAAACCAGGATGTTTGGAAATTCGTGATTTCCATCACATAGTGATTACATTCTATTGTCCATATTTGTGAGGAATCACTTGGTCTATGTTTCAAACAAATCATTATAACTAAAATGTGCACACATGCACTTTCTTTAATAACATACAGTCATTTCAGCAAGCCTGTAAGGCACAGGTAGATAAGCCTTGTTTCACAGTTCATTACATGTAAAAACACCCAAAGACATAATCAAATTCTGCCCTTCTGTGAACACAAGATTTCTCCTTACATTATATGCATGAATTTGAAACAAAGCCTATACCACACTGTGTTTCTTATCTGTATGAGTCCATATAACAGGTTAATTCACTTCCACTCTCCCAGCATCATCCATTTCAATGTATAAAAGAGTATCACTGAATTTGCTCAATGCGTGTGAAATTCTTGTTTTCCTCCACCTTCAAATCTTCCTATACATCTCACTGGCACGTTCCTTCCCACAAAAAATTGTTATGGGTCAAATCATCGTTTTTAAGAGTATCTGGCACCACTGTAATTAGCCAGTCTTGCACTGCTTATATATAAGAACATTTTTACATTTCCACAGCAAGATGTAGCAGCCTAAGAGTATATGAGGCGCAAACCCAAACTACTTTTCATGTGCTCTCAAAAGCCATAGTATATGGATCTTACACCACAAAAGTTAGTAAGTCATGGATATATGTTCATTTTCTAAATTGTAGTGCTCATTGGAGAAAATAGCACTGAACTACCCTTCTTGGTGAAGGTTACCATCCTCAGAGCTTGCTTGGTGAATGAGTCACTACAGAACTCATCACCTGCTCAGGCAAAGCCAGGAAGGTTAGCCTAAAAAAGTAACAGCACAGCACGAGCAAAACCTACTGATTTTTTTGCCCAGTGTAGATTAGTGAGAGCCTACATAACCTCTTCAGTGCAGCCTTTAGAGTGGTAACCTCAAACTAAGTAGGCAAGGCTCAGCAGCTGAGAGAGGTAATGACTCCAGGCAATATGATTAAACCTAGATTAAATACATGAAATGCCTTCAATTTCATTGAGCACCATTCCAAACACAGCATTACTCTGTCTTGGGACCCTTTTAGTATAGCAAGACCTTCCTGAGGTTTCATCTTTCAGAATGGCAGAAGCAGAAGGGTCACTGGTATTACTGGTAAGTCCTATAAAAACCAACTGTGCATGAATTCCCCACTTTGAATGGAGTGTGCAGTCATTTTCTAAGACAAAAAAGGAAAAAGAAGAAAAATGACACAACAATGCTAAGAGCAAAATTTGAGATGGTATACAGAAAGCTAGAAACCCTCTGCTTCACAGAGAGTGAGCAATGCAGGCTTTCACCTTGCTTTGTAAATTTCACATTAAGTTCTTTCTATGTTACCACTTGGTGTGCAGACTTAACACAGCCACAATTCCAGTCTGTGAAACCTCTCTCTGGATAAAAAGTCAATGTCTAACCTGTATCTAGAGCATTCCTTTACACAGAAACATGTAGGGAGCAAGCAGCAACACTGGAAAAATCATTCAATGCACAAAAAGTGGATCAAGCAAGCCACAGTAATCCTAAAATTTGACATTTTTAGAATACTATGAATGATACTAAGGGTGTTTACATCATTATATCGTTTTTCTCTAATATACAATAAAACACTTTCCTGTATGCACAAACAGCAAGGAAAAAAAACAGAGCTACATGCCAAAAATAAAAGGTTATTGAGTTTGACACATTGCTCTTATGATGAATTGTATTATATGCTTTCTCTGAATCTAAAATACTTCTTGTACTACTCAATGTTCTATACAGCATAACCTTCAGAATGCAGAGGAGCTCTGTGCCCATCCTGTACTATGTTCTGTTTATGTTCTGCTAGTATTGCTTAACAGAGGATTGCTTTAGGCAGCTCATTTTACTGTTTGTAATGTTTGAACTGCAGGCTAGCCATGACTGGCACATTAACTTCCACGTGAACATGTGCCCAGTATCACCATTTTCTTCTCTAGGTAAGTTTGAAAGAGTTCTTCAATTAAGATACGACAGTCTCCTTAGGAATTCATGTTTTTCTCTCCAGTACAAAACTCACACATCCCAATGCCAAAATAGAAGTAGCACCAGGCCAATTCATATTTTAGTTCTACACTGTAGATTTTCATAGACAAAATCCTGTTCAAGCTGGCAATACAATGCCCACATTCTCAGGCTGACATTTCATCCCTTCTGCATACTTGTGTGAGCATGGACATCACTGCAAACATACAGAAATTGACTAACCTCTCCCACTCAGATGTCCAGAAGGAGATCGTTGAGAACTGGCATCCCTCAGGGGTCCAAACTGGGACCAGTACTGTTTCATACCTGCACCAGTGACACAGGCAGTGAGATCCGAGTGCACCCTCAGCAAGTTTGCAGACAACACCAAGCTGAGTGGTGCGGCTGACACACTTGAGGGACGGGATGCCATCCAGAGGAACCCGCACAAGCTCGAGGCATGGGCCCGTGTGAACTTCATGAGGTTCAACACAGTCAAGTGAAAGGGCCTGCACCTGGGTCACAGCAACCCCCACTATCAATACAGGCTGGGGCATGAAGGGATTGAGAGTAGCCCTGCCGAGAAGGACTTGGGGCACTGGTAGATGAAAAGCTGGACATGAGCCGGCAACGTGTGCCCACAGCCCAGAAGACCAGCCATATGCTGGGCTGCATCCAAATAAACATGGCCAGCAGGTCGAGCGAGGGCATTCTGCCCCTCTGCTCTGGTGAGACCCCACCTGGAGTGCTGTGTCCAGCTCTGGAGCCCTCAGCACAGGAAAGACATGGACCTGTTGGAGAGGGTCCAGAGGAGGCCACAGAAATGATCAAAGGGATGGAACACCTCACCTGTGAAGAAAGGCTGAGAGAGTTGGGGTTGTTCAGCCTGGAGAAGAGAAGGCTCCAGGGAGACCTTACCGCAGCCTTCCAGTGCTTAAAGGGGGCTTCTAAGAAAGATGGGGACAGACTTTTTAGCAGGGCCTGTTGTGATAGGACAAGGGGTAATAGTTTTGAGCTAAAAGAGGGTAGATTTAGACTAGATATAAGTAAGAAATTTTTCACGAGGGTGGTGAAACACTGGCACAGGTTGCTCTGAGAGCTGGTAAATGCCCCATCCCTGGAAACATTCCAGGTCAGGCGGGATGGGGCTCTGAGCAACCTTGTTGAAGATGTCCCTACTCCTTACAAGGGTGTTGGATTAGATAACTTTTAAAGGTCTCTACCAACCCAAAATATTCTGTGATTCCTTCTGCCTTCCAAACCACAATGTTGTTCACGTTTTTGCAAGACATTTTTCCATAACTAATTATTAACTCCATTATTCCAAACACACTGGATTGTTTTTATTTGGATGGTTGAAATACCACTGAAGTGCTGCATACTATATACAGCAGGAAAAAGGAAAAATAATCCTACAATCCACATCAGTTTAACGAGAACTTTAAAAAGCTTCACTTCAAATATTCAGTAAAACTGTGATGACAGCACAGCTACAATGCATTACCAAACATCACCTCTTCAACAGCAATTGATAGCAACACCTCATTTTCATCACACCTTTTTTAAACACAGCTACACGTTCAAGGGAGGATGTGCTCAACACAGGAAGCCTACCTCACATAAAGTGGCTTCTGACTTGTGAAAACTCCAAGAAAAAA